TTGAAAATTTTTCAAATTTTTTTATTGATTCGGTTATTTGAAAATGATTGGAATTTTTTTTTTTTTTTTTTTGGTTGCCATAAGAATCCTGATTCAATTGATCGAATTGCCTTTTCGATTTATGAAAATAAAAAGATGTAAAGACGCTCATCATGTGAATGTGAATAAAAAAGCGAGAGAAAATCGTGATCAATGATTTTTTTGGTTAATTTCATATCCATTGTTGTTGCGGTTGCTTTAGATTTTTTTTCTGTGTATAACAAATCTATTTTCCACCCAAAATAAGATGTTCCATATTTCTTTTTTTTGTCGACGATGATGGGAATTCACGAAAATAAAAAATTTGCACATTCCATTCGAAAATTCGCTGATTGATTGAATGGATGAATTATGATTATTATGATTATCGGTTTATTTTATTGATTTTTTTTTCTTTTCTTACCTTTATCAATGAAAAATATCTATATAGCATTCTTTCGTCATGTACTGACAATATCACATTCAGATTTTCATCGAATGTTTTCCGATACATATGGTATACTTTATGATCGTCATTCATTCATATTTAATCAAATGTTTCGTAATCTTGAACATTATTATAATGATGGCCAATTGGATCTTACTATTGCTATGAAAGAATTTTTTAATTTACTTTATAAAAAAATGTTTGAAGAATTGAATGCACAATATTCATTTGATTCAAATTATCTAAATTGTACTGTTGAACATATGGAAGAAATGATGCCATTTGGTGAATTACCACAAAAATTAATTGTACAAGTTAGACGTTCATTTGTTGCTGTACGTACATTTGTACAAGCATTACGTTATGGTAGTGATATTTTGAAAACAATTATGGAGGTTAGTATAATAAGTTTTTTTAAAAACATTTCATTTTTTCAAACAAAATCATATCATATCCATAGCTATCCATAAGCTCGACCTGTGAAAATCGTTTACAATCATTGTCATATTGTTATCGTTGTGATTCAAATAGCCATTCATCAACAGCAAATAATAATAATAATAATATCTGTCAATCAACATGTATTGATCAATTGGAAAAATGTTGTCTACAATGTTTGGGCAGTTTGAATAAAGAATGGAATAAATTTTTAAATGATATGATTAGATTATCTAGTCGTTTGAAAACATCATTCAATATTGAACATATTGTTAGTCCTATTCATATACAGATATCGGATGCAATTATGAATTTTCAGGAAAATGGTCGTACTATTTCACAAAGGGTAAGTGTTTTTGCTTGTTTATGTTATTAGATTTTTCTCAATTATAATTTTGTTTATTCATTTAGCTATTCAATAAATGTGGTCGACCTGTTCATCGTAAACGTGAAAAAAGAAATGATAATTTATCAATGAATCACTATCAACAACAACAACAATATCCAAGAATAATCAATACAATGACCAATCATCCTCAACAACAACAGCAACAACGACAACAACAATCACCATTATCATTATCATCACAGCCACAACAACAACAACAACAAAATATTGACAGCATAATCGATTCAATGATAAATGAATTTAAAACATTTAAAAATTTTTGGTCAAATTTGCCAAGAAAATTATGTTCACATTATAGTACCGAAGCCAATTGTCTAACTAATCAAACATTTCGGTATGTAGAAAAATTTTGAAAAGAAAAAATTAAACAAAATTTTTATTCTTATTTTTTATTTTTCAAAAAAAACACCAGAAATTCGGATGAACCAAATTATCGTGATCGAAACAATGTCGAAATCATCAATCAACAGATCGCAACATTACGATTAATTTCATTCAATTTGAATAAAGCATATAATGGTTTGGATGTTGATTTTGAAAATAATTGTATGTTTTTTGTTTTGTTTGAAACAAAAACCAGATGTTTTTTGTTTTATTTTTCTTATTTAATTAATTCTTTCGATTTTTTTCCGGAAAAATAGTTGATACGGACAATGATGATACACCACCAATTGATGATGAAATATCTGATGATGCAAGTGGTAATAATGAATCTTCGGGTGATGATGGTGGTGGTAGCGGTTTTGCTGGTATTGATGATTCATCATCATCAATTATCGATAATGAACAAACAAATAAAAATCCAATCTATCAACATAATGATGATCGATCAAGAACAAATCAATCATCATCATCAAATAATGATATCAATTTTGATACATCAACTGAATCATCGACAACAACAACAACGATGACCAAAATTATTACACTGGATGTAACAAAAACATCATCCGGATTTAGCCATCTAAATAATCGACCTATTGATAACAATTTACAATTATTAATCATTATTATTACATCAATTTCAATGATATTTTTATAAATTGATTTTTCCTTGTTTGGTTTGCTTGTTATTATTCATCTTTCTCTTCTCGCTTACCCTCTTTTTCCCATAAAAAATTCATTCAATTTAAGTTTTGATTTGCTGTGATTTATTTCATTTTTGTAATTGTATTATCTGTAAAATGTGTGTGTGTTTTATGTATTTTGTAAATATATAATTTTTTCCAATTGTGATTTTTTTTGAAATTTTCTCTCATCATTATTCATTACAGAAATAAAATAAAAATTTATTATGAAAATTTGTTTTCGCAAATCAGCAATTTCCGCCATTCCAAAAATTGATCAAACATTAATGCTGCTTACCACCCGATATAATTCATCGAAACGATAAATTTGTCGCAAAAAATAATCACCATAACGTGGTGCCACCTTGGTATCGGCAATATGAATCATATCCTATATTGGCAAAAAAATCATTTGAATTCGAAATGAGAAACAAACAAAAAAATGAAATCAATTACCTTATCAATATAGAAATCAACATCCGATCCCGATTGAAATTCATCCAATTGTTTAGTTGATGAATAATTTTGCATTTTATGTTTAAAACATAATAGATAACGATTCAATTCTTCTGGTGGTATTTCGATAATGCTTGCCAATTTTTCAATAGTCATTGTTGTATAAAATTTTAATAGACTACGTATTTCTAATAATTTTTGTTGTTGTTCAACTTCTTCTAAAAATATTTTAATCTGGTGTCGATAGGAAATATTGTTGGCCATAAATGAAACAATTTTCGGGCATGATTGTTTGAATACACTTTTGAATTCTTTAATATCTCCGGAACGTAATTTAATAAAAGAATCGTGCATTTTTTCTTCAACCTGATTCATAATACTTTCATCGATACGTTGTGGATGTAATGCTAAACAAATGGCCAATAATCGATAAATACGATCAGTTTGTTTTTCAATCATTTCCATTTGAAATGTTCGATAATTATAAATTGGTTTAGTACGTTGCATATAAACCAAAATATTGGAAAATGTACGAATAGCATCCGAATATCGATGCATCATCATATAGGCAAAACCAACATAATAAAATGTTGTCACTTGACATGCCAATACACGTGATATAGCCATACTTTGTAATTGTTGACGATTTAGATCGATATTTTCCAATACCTTGATGGCTAGATAATAATCACCAAGCATACAATGAAGTCTTAACAAACCAATCAAACTAAAATAGCCAAGCATTTTGTAGAAAATCAATCGGCCATATTCACCGGCAACAAGATCTGGATCACGTCCATTGTTGAATTCACGAAGCTGTTGATTAATATTTGATTTATCCACTAATGAATAAAGAACATTCAATACAGCATGCACATTCCAAACATTTGGTTTATTTATGTTTTCTTTATCTTCCAATGACAATTCGGCTGCCTTAGCTTTGAATGCTGTGAACGATTGAAATTGGTAGATGAATTCATCGATTATATCCCATAGCCATTGATTAGGTAATTCTAATGGTTCAGTATTTTTTGTTAAAATGTAATTGAATAATTCACAATAATTGAAAAAGGATTTCAAACGTATTTCGGTCGGTATTTCACCATCCAATGAATAATAATGACGAAAATAAAGATCTTTGTATAAAACAAGAAAAATAAAATCATCCTTTTCATTTGAATCGATAATCATTTTGACAACATTTTCATTTGGCCATGGTTCACTTTTATAATACATTTCGGTCAATTTGTTGAAATTATTCTCATAAAGTGCTTGAATATCATAAACATTACGCTCGATGATAGATTTTCTTAAATTCAATATAAATTCTTGAATTTGATCGGGAACATTTTCATAATCCGATCCATTATCATCATAATCATCACTATCATGATCGTCCATCATTTTTAAAAAATTTAATTTCGGTAAAAATTTCCAATTTTAACGATAATCGAGGAAACACGTTGAACAAAATTGAGTACAGTCAAGGAAGCGAGTTTGTACAGTAAAATCACATACACACAAAGACAAAAAAATCGGCTATTTGAAAGCGTTGAGTCTAATGGTGTCGAAATAGATGTAGACATGCATCATCATCATCATCATCATCATAATGCCGTTTCGAATCAACTGTTCCAGTTCGTTTTCAAACAAAGAGAGGGATATAAGGATTTTCTCCTGATCATCATTATCATCATTTTAATCAACAAAAATTTCAATAATTGAATTTCAACAATCCGTCATTGACGTTTCATTCACTCATTTTCAAGTAAGATTTATGATAATATTGATTAAAAAACGAAACGACAAAAAAAACATTTCTTTCATATTTAAACTACTAATATGAATATCTCATTATCGAAAATGATGAGATAATTTTTCTTGATATTTACCATCGTTTCATTTTTTCTGTTGTCATGTCCATTTTGGGTTTTGTCAATTTTGTTTGTCAAATCAATCAATTGATACAATGACAAACCATTTTTTTTCTTGTTGATCATATAGATATAGATATTAGCTTAGATAGATAAATATAGTACCATTTTTATCATTATAATAAAAAATTATTATTTTTTATTATATCAATCAACAAAAACCAATAGTAACCATATAAATAAAATAAATAATAAAAAAAGACCCGATAAATGTTGAATTGCCTGTTAAAACAAAGTTCGAAACTGGTTGTTGGGCGAATACACCGATCAACAACAACAACATTATTTGTATTTAATAGAAATCTTTCGAAAAACAATTTTCATTTGTTTTTAAATTGTCGTCAAATTCTTACAAATAGCAGACCAACGACATTGTTTCAATCAAGCATTAATAATAATCAAAAGTTTGCCATCCATACATCATCGAAAATAATGGTAAATTTCTCCTAAATTAATTTTTTTCCTCCCAAATTAATCAATTTGATTTTTCAGAATAAAAACAAAGCAACTTTGATTGGTGTTTATGAGAATAGTAACAATAAAGATACATTTGTATTTACACCAAGTGGTAAAAAAATTAACTCATCAGTCAATGGATTAATTGAAAAACAATTAAATATGTAAGATATTCTTTGATTTTGTTTTGAATATTTTTTTACTAATAATTTTTTTCCTCTAGTGTTGGACCAGTGAAAAAAGGTAAAGTTCGTATTCTATACGATTTAAGTCCTGAATTTCCTGTTGTCGGTATTGTTGGTCTTGGTCCGGAAACGGCTACATTCAATGAATTAGAAGAATTGGATGAAAAATTGGAAAATATTCGTTCAGCTATTGCTAATGGTGTACGATCATTACGTGATCTTGGATCTATTGATGAAATTAATGTCGATGGTTGTTTAAATCCAAAAGCAGCATCTGAAGGTGCTAATCTTGGTCTTTATTATTTTGATGAATTAAAATCGGCTGCATTGAAAAAATCCAAAGTTGAACTTCATTTATTAGCTGATGGAATTTCCGATGAAAATGAATGGAATGCTGGAGTTCTATTATCAAATGGCCAGAATCTTTGTCGAACATTGATGGAAAATCCGGCAAATCTAATGACACCAACAAAATTTGCACAAATTGCTGTCGAAACTTTTTCCAAACTCAATGTTACCGTACATGTTCGAGATAAAGCATGGGCCGAATCAATGAAAATGGGTTCATTTTTGAGCGTTGCAAAAGGTTCGGATGAACCACCGGTTTTCCTTGAGGTATATTTTTACACTAACCAAGTCTGAGTTTGTCAACTTTATTGAAAAAAAATTGTTTATTTTCGTTAATAGGTTCATTATAATAATGCACCAAATACTAAACCATTAGTGTTTGTTGGCAAAGGAATTACATTCGATAGTGGTGGAATATCATTGAAAGCATCATCCAATATGGATAGAATGCGTGCCGATATGGGTGGTGCTGCTAATGTTTTAAGTACTATTTATACATTGGCAAGCAAAAAATCACCGGTCAACATTATTGGTAATGATTTTTGCCCGAAAAATTTCAAAAATTAATCAATTGAATTACATTATTCAGGATTGATGCCATTATGTGAAAATATGCCAAATGGACGAGCCAACAAACCGGGTGATGTTGTCACAGCAATGAATGGCAAAACTATTCAGATTAATAATACCGATGCTGAAGGTCGTTTAATTTTGGCCGATGGTCTTTGCTACGCACATAAATTTGATCCATTTTTACTAATGGATATTGCAACATTGACCGGTGCAATCGGTGTTGCACTTGGTTCATCAGCTACCGGTGTATTTTCAACATCAAACAAATATTGGACAATGTTACAAAAATGTGGTGTTGAAACTGGTGATCGTATGTGGCGAATGCCATTATTCAATCATTTCACCAAACAGACAACCGACAGTCAATTAGCCGATTTATGCAATATTGGAAAATATGTTGGACAAGGTGGTAGCTGTATTGCTGCAGCTTTTCTTCGTGAATTTGTTACCTGTAATTCTTGGATACATTTCGATATTGCTGGTGTAATGGACAACAAAGATGAAGTGGCCTATTTATCCAAAGGGATGTCTGGCCGTCCATTACGTACATTGGTACGATTCGTTGAAGAAATTTTTGAAAACAAAGCATTTTGAACAATATAATAGAACGCATGATGTTTTTATTCATCGGATGATAAATGATACAACATTATTCAATGATTTAAAAAAATAAAATAAAATATTCATTCATTCATTTATCTACGATTATCATTCATTCCAATATGTGCGGTTGTACGTTCCAAATTGGCTAATGGATTTTGATTTGATGGATATTGCATTGGATTATAAACACCAGTTGATGATTGAGGATGTGCTGGATGATTAGCCGAAGCCATTTGCGGAGGAGGTACATTACTTAACATCATACCCGATGGTGCACCACCACCAACAGCACTTTGCTGTGATCTCATCAAAGGATTTGGTACATGTTGCATTCCTGCATTCATCGGCATTGTTGAAACCGGCATTCCTGATGGTCCCATACGCATTGAAGGTGGTGGTGGTTGTTGTTGTCCTGGCATCATTGTTGGATTAACATTTTCCGCAATCATCATATTATTCGGATGCATAGTTTTACCAGTCAAAGCTTCATTGACCATATTGGACCACATGTTCAATTTTTCATAATAATTATTCAATAATATATCTTTACGATTGATTTCTGATTTCAATTCATTTATCTCTTCATTCAATGTTATTTCAGGTTTTTGTTCGGAAAGAATTGCTCGTTTACGTATGAAAAAACTTTCAATCTGTTGTGATATATCTAAAAAACGTTGAATATTATCAACATTGGCTTTCAATTCATCATTGTCCAATACATGAGATGATAATGGATTGGTGATTGGAGCCAGACAAGCCTGATTGATTTCGAAAACAAAACAAAAGTTAACATTATATAAATAAAACCATATACAAACCTGGAATGAATTTTCAAAATCATCGATTAAAGACATTGTTGAAGAAAAATTTGATTATTGTCAAATCGTACAGCGCGTTTTAATCAACAAACAAAAAACAGATTTCTCGGAATATTTTCCAATGAAATCCAAGATTGACGGAAAAATTCTTTGCACATGTCTTTTATTTTGAAGACTAAAAAATGGTTTTTCTTGGAATTATTGATGAAAAAATTAAAATCATTGATCATCATGAACAATGTTCTTGGTTGGATAATAAATTAGGTTTGTTGTTGACAATTTTAAAAAATTTACTTAATAATTTGTTCTCGTTGTATTTCTAGGTGGTCAACCTATTTTTAATCCAATGTTTGATGTAAACAAATTGATAAAAAATGATCAACTTCAATGTACAGAATGTTCAATCAATATGGCTTTTATATTGCAAATATATTGTCCGGTTGATAATTCTAATGATGATCGTATTTTATATTTCTTTTCATGTGTAAACAAAGATTGTTCGATGAAAAAATGTCGATTATTTCGTGTTGTTACCAAAGCAAAACAAGCAACCAAAATTGAAACCAAATTATTCGATGATGATGATTGGGGAGGTGATAATGAATCTACCAGTGATTCAACATTCACAACAGAACAATCATCCAATGATGTTGGTTCGACGAACAAATATGATTTTGAAAAACATTCGTATTTTATTCCTCATTATATATCGGTGATAGAAGAAACGGATGAATCGATCGATAATGAAAAATATGAAAAAATGGCCAAACAAATAGCAAATGTTGAAGAAAATTTCATCAATGAACAATATGAGAAACATTATCCCGATGTTTTTCAAAATGATAAAGATAATTATAAATTTTATAAACAATTACATAAATGTCCTGAACAAATTATGCGATATGAATTTGCGGGTAAACCACTAAAATCATCCGGTCGAATAAATTTTTCCATTGAAACTTGCAAAAATTGTAAGTCAAAACGAATTTTTGAATTACAATTAATGCCATCATTGATAAATGTTTTATTGAATAACAAAATGAAAACAATCGATCAACAAGATATATCGATTGATTTCGAAACAATATTAATCTATACTTGTGGTAAAAATTGTTATTCAACAACAAACGAAATTTGCGAAGAACAAGTATTTTTATTCAAAGAAAATTGTCCCGAATTAAATGAAAAATTGTTTGAATTTATTCCTTTAAAACAAGAACGTCAATAAAATTAAATAATCAATGTTATTAAAATTTTGAAAAAAATTTACCTTAAATTCTCATCCTGTATATTGATTTCTGATTTTTCAAATTCTTGTCGAATCAAATCGATAGCATCTTGTTTACCAAATTCTTGACATAATTTTAAACAAAATAAAACATAATCATATCTTTTGTTTTGAAAAGATAATTGTGCAAAATCAGCCAATGTTTTTGATCTAAAAATTTTTCATCAAAGATTGTAATTTCTTAATTCAAGAAAAAAAAATTGAAATACTCACTCTGGTTGATCATAAAGTTCATTTCGAAGTGAATACATTTTTTCCATAATTGTATAGCCCATATCTAAATCTTGACATTTGTTCAATATGGATAAACATAATGATAATGTTTTCCCGGTCCACCTGTGTGTTTTTTTGTTTGAATAGAAATTTCAGTGAAAATGAAAAAAAATTACTTAAAATTCAAACAAAAACTTACTGAAGACTTTGATCATAACCCATTTCAATGTTTTTGGAAATTTTTAGATTAATTTTGTTGAATGCATCAATCACTGAAAATTAATAAAAATGAATGAATATTTCAAAATGAAGAAATCATTATACCGACCTATTTGATTGAATTTCGATAATAATGGATCGGATTTTTGTATTTCATCCATAGCCAATAATAAATCTTGTAATATATCCATATTATAAATATAATATAATAAACGAATATCATCATAAATTTGTGGTAAATAATTGATTGCTTTATAGATTTTAATTGTTTTGAGAAGATTAGCCATCAGGTCAACATTCGGTGAATACATATGCGGTACATAACGATTATAAAATGCCATAAATTGTTCAATCGATTCGGATAAACACAAAAGTTTTAAGAATTTGTAGCTAATTTGAATGAAAAATAGGATTAGGAATTTAGAAAAAAAAATCATTAAACTTACTAATAAACATTTTGACTAGAATTAGGACCAAGTAAATTCAAATGACGATTAGCAATTTTATCAATTTTAAATGCAAGTTGTACATCATTCAAATTCGATGCAATATCCATTGCAGTTGCAAAAAAATAAACTAAATTTTTGAGAAAAAATAACAATTTTATAAAAAATAAATTAAATTGACATTCATATGATTCATACCATCATCCATATCTTGTGGTTCAAATTTTTCATCACCAATTTTATCAATAATTTCATAGATTATAGTACTTTTACTATTACGTGATCGATAAAAACAACTAAGCAAATGATAATAAGTACCAAAACTTGGCCGGATATCAAATTTGAATGCAAATTCATTCAATGATTTCAAAATCAATTCATTGCTTTGAACAAAAAATTTATATTTTGAAATTTGTTTAAGAACACCATTTAATGTTCCAATATCTGGTGCAATTTGATTTTGATTCATTGTTTTCAATAGATCAATAACCGTTTTCCAACGTTCTTCATTTGTTGAATGCAATTCATTACTAATGTTGATTAATGAATTATATGTTGCAGTGTTTAATTTAAAATTCAAATCGATTGCTTGTTGATATAATGAAAATGCCCGTTCACATTGATTATGTTTAGCCATACCTTTGATGATTGATGAATAAACGCGATCATTTTTCGGTTCAATCGAATCGAATAATTTTTCAGCAAATCCATTATCTTTCCATACTGTAATGTTTTGTTTTTTAGCATTTTTTTGAAAAAAATCTTCTTCAATATAATGTTCTTTTTCATTTTCACTATTAAAAAAGCAAACTAAATCTAATAAATCATAAATGATTTCCGGATCAATAGATATGCCATCTTTCATCAATTTTTCATAGCAAATAATTGAATTGATTACTTCACAACGAAGAATTGATTTTTGTAAATCATTTTCTGAAAATTCCATTGATTCATCATAGATTTCTTTGTGTGTAAATGCTTCAATTTTCGGTTCGGACATATCACGTATAAACAATTCAGGAAATTTTTCAATGAAATATCTAGCTGTTTTTCTACCCGATTCTTTAGAAATTGAATAAGTTCGCTAAATGAAAAAAAATGATTTTTTAAAATTATTAGACGATATTCATAAAAATCAATTCAAAAACCTTATCAACATTGTTAACCGGTGTTAAATATGGATCATCAATATATTGATAACTGGGACCAGTATTATCCTGTTCAATTGTCGATGATAATGCTTTTAAGATGTCCGTTGGACCTCTACAAACAGAGATTAAAATAATTTGATTGGATTTGCAAATAAATCTTTCAAACCTTGGAATAGCTTTAGGTATTTTAATAATTTCTTCGAGCGATTTTTTATTTTTTGCTACGCTAACCATCAAACGTTTATTAAGATGACCAATTCGAAGAACATTTTGAAATGATAAAATTTTTGATGCAATCAATGATTGCATTTTTAATTTTTTACGTAAAAAAAAATCCGAAGATTTTCGAATCCAAATTACCGAACATGTGATTCGAAATAAATTTTATTCTACAACGCCATCTTGTTCCAGATAACACAACGAGTTTCCAAACGTGACGTTCTTAATTTTGGTCAATATTGCAAATCGATTTCGTTTCCATGATTTTCGTTTAGTTTGTTTTCATTCGAAAATTGTGCAAAAAACTACTTATAACATTTGTATGTCGACGGTTATTATTCACTGGAATGTCTATTTCTTTGATTGCTATCAAAATTGTTCTATCAAAATCGTCGGAGAATTTGAAACATAAAATTGACTTTGTTGGTAAGTGTCAAATTCAAACCCGAAAAAATCTAATAATATCTATTTTGTTTTACAGCCAATAGATATCTACATTTAGCAGCTACAATGTCCAACAATTCTCAACAACAACAGCCAACATCGAATGAATCATCGAAAAAATTTGATCTTCGTGAACCACATGATATTACAGTTGAACAATATCAATTACCATTTTGTTTAGGAAATCATAATGTTGAAACAATTCAAGGTATACTTTATCTTTTTAAAGAAAATAAACTTACACCATTGGGTGAAGAATCGGAACGTAGTGATATTATTTGTATGCTATCGGTAAATGCAAATAAATCGATTCATGATATTTTACAATTTACCGCTCCATTCAGTGAAGATATTCAACATATACAGATTATTCGTGATTCAACTCCTAATCAATATATGGTAAATATTTCTGATTTAAATTCAATTCCTCTTATTGATTTGTCTTTAAACCTATAGGTTTTATTAAAATTTCATAGTCAACGTAGTGCCGATGAATTTTATAATTCTTTCAATGGTTCTACTTACAATTCTATTGAACCAGAAATATGTCATTTAGCATTTGTTGCTATGATTGAAGTATTGGATGATTCAAAGCAATCATCACAATTACCTATTACTGGTTTTACTGAATTACCTACCTGTCCTGTTTGTTTGGAACGAATGGATGAATCAGTTCAAGGTATTCTAACCATTCTTTGTAATCATTCATTCCATGGAAAATGTTTGGATCAATGTGTTGATTCTAGTTGTCCGGTTTGTCGTTATTGTCCAACACCGGAAGCAATGCCTGATAGCCGTTGTTCAGAATGTGGTTCACAATCAACAGCACAAGATTCATTATGGATTTGTTTAATTTGTGGTCATATTGGTTGTGGCCGTTATTTAAAAGGACATGCATCTAAACATCATAAAGATACTGGACATACATATGCTATGCAATTAGGTCATAATAATCGTGTTTGGGATTATGCCGGTGATAATTATGTACATAGATTGTTACAAAATAAAGATGGTGAACCAGTCGAATTGAAAGCAAATCAAAGTGGTGGCCAAACTAATCAATTAATGCATGATGAAAAAATTGATTCCGTTCAATTGGAATATACCTATTTGTTAACACAACAATTAGAAAATCAACGTCATTATTATGAAGAAACTATTAATCATATGGAAAAAGATAAAGAAAAACAAATGAAAGAATTGATTGATAATAATGATCGTCTCATGAATGAAAACAAAAATCTTATCAATTGTATTGATGAATTAAAACGATCCAAACAACAATTGGAAAAAAAATTAAATCAATTGACACAAAAATTACAGAAAACATCGGCAGATCTGCAAGAAGAAAAAGAACTGAATAAATGTCTTCGAAAAAATCAAGATGAATATACCAAAAGATTGAATGAAACGGAAAAAAATTTGCAAAATTATAAAAAAGAAAAAGATGCAGAAATTGATGATCTCAAAGAACAAATGCGTGATTTAATGTTTTTCTTAGAAGCAAAAGAAAAAATTCAAAATATACCCAATGAAACATTGAAAGAAGAAATTGAAACAGGAAAAATATGCATCCAACAACAACAACAACAATCAACGAGTAAAACAAAATCCTCCGGTCGTAATAAAAAAGTTAATAAATAAATAGTGTCTTCGTCATCAAAATGTGAATTTTATTTTATCAGAATCAGAATTTGAATAAATCTAAAAAATTATTTTTTAAAAAAATGCATTAAATCAATGAATTTCAATCAATCAATCAATCAATATTCTTACCGTCACTATCGCTATCATCATCGAAAATGCTTTTCTTCTTGCTTTTCATTGTTTGTTGTTGTTGAGATTTTATATTTTCTGAATGTTTTTCTTCAATTTTTGGCACTTTTGAAAGTTTTGATGATTGAAATGCAGGAAAACATAGCTCATCATCATTATCATCGCTTTCAGATTGAAAAAGAATGCTTGTCTTTTTTGTTGTTGTAACGGATTTTTGTTGTTGGTTTCGTAATAGATTTGGTCCTTTAAATATATCATCATCACTGTCCGATGAGTCGAATAAAGATTTAGATTTTGTTTTAGGTAGCACAGAATTATTGTGAGATGAATTTTGCAAAGGCATTTTTGGTTCAATTTTTTCATTCGTTATAATTATTCGATCAGGTTCTTTCGTAATTGGTGAATTTGGTTTTTTCAAATTTTTATCCTCAACAACATCATCATTGAATAATGATTGAGAATTTGAAAGCGAAGCTTTCAGTGCATTTCTTGTTGGTGGTTTACGTTGACGATTAGAACCTAACGATGCTTTATGTTTAAGCATTGAATTTAATTCATCTTTTGTATCGATTATTTGAATGTTGTCATCTTTCTTTTCGGGAATCGAAACAGCAGCAGCAGATGATGATGATGAAGGAATGGTCGTCGTTTGTTCGGACGATAAAACTTTACTTTGCAAAACAGAATTAAGCTCTTTGATCATATTAGAAGAAAATGTAGATTTTGATTGAATTTTTCCGGTAGAAATCAATATTGGATCTGACACTGAATCATCAACAATTTCATTAATTATCAGCGAATTAGCATCTGAATGTTTTTCCGATTTATTATTATTGGGCACTTTTGAAATTAATTGATTAAATAGATCATCATCATCATCATCATCGGAAGAGAATATCGATTGATTTAAAGTAGTTTTTAAGGCAGATTTTCGACTAATTTTTGACGAACTAAATATATCATCTTCATCAGAATCATCATCAAAATTGAGAATTTTTTCCGCATTGTTACTATGTTGTTGTTGGATTTTTGATTTTTCCTGATTATTTTCACTTTGAACATTGGTCTGTTTTGGCAAATCTTTTGCAGAAACACTGCCGTCATGTGATGAAGATATTGAAGCTGTATGAAACAGATTATCATCATCAATATCATCAGGTTCATCGAATACTATAGGCTTATGGGTCAGGTTTGGTCGAACAAAAATATCATCATCATCTTCACTACTTTCAGCTAATAATGGATCTTTATTCGAATGATTTCGAATTCCAATCAAATTTTCCACTGATTCGAATGGTTTCGAAGTACTTGGAACATTGGTTATTTCCTGATCAACATTATGATCGCTGGAAAAAGATTGCTGAAATTTTTGTTCCTCATAACCATCCAACAAGGTATTCGCAGCATGATCAATAATATCCTGATTATTATCAATCAATGTCTCTGATCTATTGGTTAGGTTTATCACAGTGTCCAAATGACTATCATCTGTTTTCATTCCAACAAATGTATCTTTCAAATATTCATCACTTCCGATTATATAAGGTAGATTTCGATGTGCAAATAGATTTTTTTGTGAATATAATTTGTGCAGAAGATTATAGCTATTGTTTTCATTAAAATCTTCCGAAGAAATTTTGTATTTCGAAATTAATCTTTTTAAGGCATCATCAATGGAATTTTCTAGTCGATTTATAAGTTGTTTTTCTTCTCCATCATCATCTTTTGTTGTTGGCTGAATGACAGTAGTCGTGGATGAAGTGATTCGATTTAAATCAATGTTATTCGTTTTTGAAGTAATGTCCTTAATATCTTCATCATAAACACGATTTTCAATAAATTTAACATTGGTCAATATTAAAATACTTGTTATTAGATTATTGATTTTATTTGCAGAGGTCTGTGTGATTGACAAAATACACTTGAATGTTTTGTTTCAATGTTTTTCTCAAGAGACTTACATTTGTTTTATAAGATAGATCATCAATTTCAAGTAAACTTTGTCGAATTTTGTTTAGAAATCCATCACCAGTATTTTTTATCAATCCTAAAAGCTACAGAAAAATGTGATTGAGTTTTCCAACAAAAAAAACATAATGCAACAAAACAATTACTTTTAGATCAGAAATTAGATTCCATTTGGATTTATTTTGTTCAAGTTCATCAATCGATTCGAATCTTTCTTGATCTTGGTTCTAATTTTGAAAAAAACAATCAAATTAATTGGTTCAACAAAAAAAATTCCTCATAATTACATCGGACATGATGAATATGAATTGAATTAAAGTTTATAATTTTATTGTTTTGAAATTAAATAATTTTGAAAGAAAAAGGTGTTTAGAACTAAAAAAATAGAATTCAATAAAATTCTATTCCAACACCAATCAGACCATTTGAGTAGATATATAAGAAATTGTTAGAATTTGTATATCAGTGAAATACCGTTCGATTTGATTATCATTTGGTTTCTTTAAATAGAAACCAAATCATCAAAAATTATGTTTTGATTACATCAGCAATAAACGAAAAAACTCCCGAAAATGTTGACCAATCTAGTCCAATTTATTAGTCAAGAATTGGGTTTTCCATTCGAAGCTCTTGTTCTATTGACAGCAGTCATTTTAACATATCCAATATGTTTATTTTATTCACTGACAACACAATCAAAATCTAGTCGTTTTAAAAGTTTGTATTTTCTATTATCCGGGCTATTGTTAATTTTTTGGGCATACGGAATCGATGCTTTTCATTCATTGATCAATTGTTGTTTTTGTTATTTTATATTGAAAACGACACCGAAACGATTTGCTGTGGCCATAAATTTCATCTTTACAATGATATATCTTTTGTATGGATATTATCAAACACAATTGGATTGGAATTATTCACTATCATGGACAATGCCACAATGTTTGCTTACATTACGTTTGATTGCCATTTCTTTTGACTTGATGGATGGACAACAAATGAAGTCCGTAAAAAAGGTATTTTTTTTGTTATCATTCTTAAGATTGAATAATGGAAAAATGAAATTTTTCTTCACACAAACAGGATTCCATTAGCAGTTCTCGTCATATCGATACATCGATCAAAAACTTACCAAATTTTATCGACTATCTATCTTATTGTTATTTTCCTGGTTCATTTTTTGTCGGTCCATTGTTGAATTATGTTTCATATGAAAAATTATTGCGAACAAAAACTATTGATATAAACTCACAGAACAATAAAATACGATCAAGCATTATTCGTCTGATTGGAAGCCTATTGATAACAGTCATTTATTTTTTTGGTTCAAAATATTGGCCCGTTGAATATCTGTTTAGTGAAGATTTTTATAAATCTTCATTCTTTTGTCGATGGACAGCTATTGCAATGGTTAGCAAAATTTATATGTACAAATATATTCTTTGTTGGATGATTGCCGAATCATCTTGTCTGGTTACTGGTCTGACACAGGATGGAAACGAAATATTTCAAAATGTTAATTTGTTGGCCTATGAAAAAGCTACATCATTCAATGCTATAATCCAATCATACAACATAACAACCAATACGTTTGCATTCAAATATGTTTATAAACGATTAAAATTTCTGGGTAATGTATATCTTAGTCAAATATTAACATTATTATTTCTTTCGATTTGGCATGGTTTCGAAAGTGGTTATCATTGGGCTTTTTCAATCGAATTTTTATTAGTATATTTTGAAAAAAATTCCTTTCCATTTCTTCGAAAATATCGACAAAAATATTTTAAAAAATCTAACGGATCAGATTTAATCATATGGATTATTGGCCGTATTTATACATTCTATTTTCTTGGCTATGGATTTTTATCATTTATTTTTCTTTATCAAAAATTATGGTGGCCAATATTTAGTTCAATATATTTTATAGGCCATCTATTACTTGTATCTTATTTTTTGGTCACAATAGTCTACAAATACATACATAGCAATAAGACACAGAATGATTGATTCGATATGTAATGTTTTTATTTTTAACAAAAAAAAAACATTAATTTAACAAAAATAAAATAAAATTTGATGATGATAATGATGACTGGGGTGTGATTGTGATGGTGATGAAGAAAAAAATCGAAAAATTTACAAAAAACAATGAAAAAAATTTGATTGATCACTAAGAATTAGGATGAGAAAAAAAATTCAAAATTTTAAAAATTCAAACGTAACATGGACATAAATGTTCGTGTTGATGTTTGTAATTGTTGTTGTTGATTGTTTCGAATTGAATATGCACATTGTACAACACATGATTGATCGGATAGAATTTGTTGTACTGTAAAGCTCGTTAATAAATCTTGACAATTTTCCACACGTATCGATTGACATATCGTCTAATCGAAAAAAGAAAAATATTCCATTAAATGGATTAAATGATTGAATTTTTCAATAATAATTACCCCTTCAGCACTACAAAGACAATTCATACAAGGACTTAGACGGCCATATTGACCAAGTAATATCATTTGGCCACCAATTATACAATGTTTATCATTAGTTTTCCATTTATTCAGATCCATTTCGGGCAATGATGTACATGGTATACGTGGATTTCTTAATCAACCAAAAAAGCAATAATTGATTATAATCAGAAACAAAAAAAAACTTACAAAAATAAATCATGTTGATCCATGGATTGTTTTTGTATATGTGTAATTTGATCACTATTTGTACAGATAATTTTCGATAATGTTACTTTACGTATTTCGGCCAATTGTTCCGGTGTAAAACGAGTGAAAACATTTGAATTTTCATACCAAAATCTATCACATTTACGTAATGTACGAAATTGTTGGCCAAGTAAACAACCGATTGTTGGTCCTACCAATGCACCATGTAATGAATTTTCCGATATACCACCAGTGAATAGGTCGATATCATCTACATGACTTTTTTTGTTTTAGAGAAAAAATTCATGTAATTAATATTAATGGCATTATCATCATCATCAGCAGCAGCAGTAGCAGCAATACTTACTCATAAACTAATTTTAATTTTTTAATAACAGGCGTGGGAATTTCTTCGCTTAAATCTTCAAAATTTTTTGCTACTGTCATATTACACAGTCGACGATAATGATTGTATGATGGTAGACCATGATCACGTGCTCGTTGCAAATTCAGCGCAATAAGATCCATTCCGGAAAATGGTTTTTTCAAATCTTCGAATAAATGATTTGTTATCTCTTCAGTAATAGAATTATCAAATTTTTCAATACTAGATGTAACCAGGCCACGTAATAATTCATCAATTGCAAATGCTAGTTTTGTGTGGGAAAAAAATTGAATTAAATTCGTTTGAATTAAAGAAGAAAACAAAAAATCTCAAAAAACTCACGTTCGTAAAGCATGTCTGAATTGAAAAAACCTTCACGTAATTTTAATGGCTGTTTAATGGGTTGATAATTGATATCAAGGCGTTCAAATGATGGTTTTAACAATGTATGTCCTAAACGGAAAACAGCAGCTGAAAATTCATTTTTAATGGTTGCATCACAATCACTATCATATCCATTAAAATAACCATTATCTAATAGATTTAGATCAAATTTTGTCATATAATCACGACCAAGTAATCGGGGTAGAAATTCTCCATAGGTAATTTGTTGTAAAAATGCGGTAATAATTTTACGACTTTCTTCATAAATAGTTTCATCATCCCAATGAATATTGATTTGTGCAAGTTTTTCAGCTATTCGATTATGTTCACGCATTATAATAGTATGTATACCTTTTGATGGTGTAAATTATTCATTTTTGGTAGGAGGTAATTGGTTAATTATAATAATAATGACTTACAGGTTAAACTTGGTTGTTCACTTGAACGATGATCACCAGCATCGAAACAAAATCCTGATGGTGCTTTACATTCAATATTATCAATCGTTTGCGGCAGTAAATCTTTCATATTACGAATGCCATGTCTAGTTGAATTAAGTTTACCACGTCTAAGTGTTCGCAATCGATGTGCATCACAATAATTTGATCCATATACTTGTGAACCTTTTTCAATACAGATCAGATTAGATTAGATAAGGTAAGCAATAATCATCAAATATACAAAAAAACTAACCATCAATAAATGATGTAAGATCATTCATTTGTTCACGAGGACCTAATGTTTGTTGGGCATTCATTGAACGAACAAAATGTAGACAACGATTTTTACTATTACGAAAATGTGGATCATTTTTCGGTATAGTAATTGGCCAACATTCCGGATGAATAGTTTTATGTGATTGACATGATTGACAATCTAATAATTGTCCATTTGTTGTTAAATACATTGGTGTAAATGTTAGATCATGATCAAGAAACTGTTTGAGTGGTTGGAATGAATGAAATTATTTATCTATCATTTTGTAAGCAATCTATTTACCTGTCCCCATTGCATTGTCATCAATGACTATGTAAGAAAGAAGAATGATTTTAAAAAAATTCAAAAAAGTTGATAAAATGAATTGAGGTAATGTAAGGAAAACGATACTTACATAGCGAACATGTGGTGAACGAGTATCACCATGAACAACTACAGATATTAATCGTGGTGATGGTAGATTTTTATTCTTTTTCACTGAAGATTTTCTTGGCGCACCAATACCATCTTCATAATTTGGTAATAAAAATCGATTAAACAAACGCATACTGATACCGAATTCTGGATGTTGCAAATTATTACACCATCCATTAATTGTACGATATTTTCTAGTATAATCACATGGTAATGAATAATCTTGACATTGTTCAACAATATTTTGATTCTGTATAAGTAGTTGATTTTTAAGATATTCACTTAGTTCATGTTGTGGTAATGATGTGACTAAATTTTGTATATCATCAATGACATCATTACTTGCTTCACGATCTCTACCATTACGAATTTGTTTCAATAAACCATGTGTTGCTCTTTCCAACAGTAATGATTGATTATTAAATAATGCTGTTGTTGTTTGTCGTTTTCTTCGTATTCCACGATTATAATGCATTTTTTGTGCCCGAGATAATCGACTACTATTGAATGGTAGTGTTTTTTCTCGTTGATATAATTGATCAACTTCTCTTTTGGCACGATGTATTACTTTTTTTATTGATTCATCATCGATTGGTAATGGTGCACCTAATCTTGATTTGTTTGTACGCCATTTTTTTAGATTCATTTTCGGTATAATATCCGTACTGCAATATTGAAATGCATTTAGATAAATATCCGATGCAATCATTGGTGATGGTTGTACGAATTCCATTTGATCACCATTATCACAAATAATGCGTGCTAATGATGATTTTCTTATTTCAGCTAATTGTTCCTCGTTAAATGATGATGGTGGCATATCATTTTCATACCAAAATCTATCACCACGACGTAATGCATTAAATTGTCTAGCTAATAAACAGGCAAATGTTGGTCCAACTAAACCACCACGTACTGGTTTTTCAGCTAAACCTCCAGTCAATAGATCAATATCTCGAACATTTCTGTTTCGAAATGAAATAAAAATCCAAAAAAAAACACGTTTAATGAGATACAGTGAAAACACACACACAAACATTATTTAGCTTACCTGTACAGACTGGATAAACGTTTAAGTACATCATTACGCATGGTTGTGGATAAATCTTCAAAACGATTAATTATTGGCTCAATTTGACAAGCCCGTCGATATTCAACATAACCAGGAAGTCCATGATCTCTACCTTGTTGTATAGCATAGGCAACAAAATCGAATGCCTCTTTATTAGTCATATTAATTAGGCCATTGGTCATTTCATCGGTTACAAATGGATCGGAACTTTTTGCATTTTGACTGACCATACCCATTAGATATTCATCCAGTTTATTGGTATATAATTCATTTGGATTAAAAAATGATTCAGACATTTTTGTCAATCCGATCATATGTAATTCTTTGGAATATTTTTCCATTGCTGATGGCATTGTTGTAAATAGAAAATGAAAAACCGAATTAGCAACAGCATTTTCCATTGTTGGATTAATATTCATATCATATTGACGATAAAAGCCGTCTTTAAATAATCTTAAACCATAATTATCAATAGTTTCTTCACCCAATACACTTGGCAATAATTCATTATAAGTTATATGCTGCATTTGTGCACCAATAATTTTTCTTGTTTCTTCAAATATTTCATTATCATTCCAATGAGGATTTAATGCCGAAAGTTTACGTGCAATTCGATTATGTTCACGCATAAATAATGTATGCATTATGGTTAGACCAAGATTTTCATTCACTCTGATAATGAACAACGGAAAAAACAGATATGAATTAATTAATAAATTTATCAATGACCACCTAACTGGATGATTTAATTTGCAAATTTCAAATAAAAAAAAGTAAAAGAGAGAAACCTGTCGTCACCGGATTTGAAACATTTTTGATTGCCGCTCATTTTGCAATCCTGTGAATTTTCATCCTGAATGGGCAACAACCCTTTGCTTTTTTCTGTTTCGGTAAAAAAACAAGTTGACAAATAATGAATAAAAGGACGGCATTCAAAATCGATAAAAAAAGAATGAAAATTACTTGATAATTTAATGCTTCTGAGTTGACCGTTCTTCATCGATCTTAATGATAATGCTTTCATTTTGGATGAACCATAAATAGTGGATCCATCAAGAAATGAAGATACCTGTATGAAATTCGGATTTGGATGTAAGGATGTCATTAAAATGTCATTATTTTCATGAATGAATGTTAACAATGTAGACAAAAGATAATGTTTGAACTGAGCAATTTTATTCTATTTTTGATCTTTTTGATCTTACCTGATTGATTTGTTCTCGTGGACCTAAACTACAACGATTTTTTATTGTTGGACTTGATCGTACATATTCCATACATTTTTGATTTAATTTTTGCATTAATGGATCATTCTGGGTTATTTTGATTGGTTGACATTCCGGATGAATTAATTCGGTTTTAGTTAGACCACAACAACGAATACGTTGACCATTAAAACCAATCGATTGTGCAACATTAGACAGATCATGAAATATAAATTGACCCAAAAATGATGTCATCGTTGTGATATGTGAAAAAGGACTTTCATTTCCTTGGTGTATGGCCAATGAAACTTGTCGAGCTGATGGTAACTCGGAACCAGAAATTGAACGACGAATTTTCGAAACACCATCACCATAACGTGGTACTAATGCACGTTTATATGGTATATTTGCACAACCCCAATCCGGATTTTCAACATTATTACAATGACCTGAATAGGATCGATATTGACCAGGATAACAGACTAATGGATTGGTTTTTGGCGCAGGACAATTACGCCATAATGATGTTGATTGAATATTTAGATCGGCCAAACCGAACATTATTTGATCTAGATTTAGTTTATATCTGTGTGTTTGTTTTCAAACAAATAATATTGATCGAAATCCAAAGTTATTCAATAGATGATCGAAATGTCATTACGAAAAATCAATTACCTACTTTTCAACAATCATATTGGTTGCTTCTTCCGCTATTAATGCTGCACGTGATAGATTTTTAACCAAACCGTTTGATGATGTTGATGCTCCAACTAGCCAGCCAATTGATCCGGGTTTTTGTGCTGCATCTATCGTTATCAACAAATCCAGAAATTACAATTCAATAAACATTCATCACAATATTGAAAAAACCCACTATTTTTAAATATATTCGGTTCAATTGTATCGAAACGTTTGTTTACTTTTTTTGTTGCCAAATCAACAATATGATCAAGATTCATACCGGACAGTTTCGTTATAAATCGTTCATTAAATGATGGTTTTGTTTGAATATAATCTAAAAATTGTGAATTAAAATTTGTCTACCCGCACCACCAGAAAATTTGATTAAATGAAGTGAACAAAAGGAAAGAAAAAGATTCTTACATCGAAAACAAATCTTCCATTATTATCATTAATATTGCTTAAAATGGATCGATTTTTTGGCTGTTGTTGACGTTTATCACGTGCGGGTAATTGAAATGATGTTCTCGTCGTTATACCATTTATTGTCCATGTTTGTTGATCAGCATTTATAAATAATATTATCGATAATAACGTTGTTAAAGTCATCAATAATGAACATCTAAACATGTTCATTATGAATCTATCATCATTTCATTTCATTTTAAAAAAGAAAAATTGAAATTAATTGGAAAAAATTATGGAATTTTCTTTTTTAAATGTTTTTTCTTGTTAATGTTCTGAATGGCCTTCAAATTTTTTTTTGAATAAAAAGAAAAAAAAGATAATGACTTGAATACAAACAAACAAATCAAATTTGGCATTTTTTTCCGCATCATCTTTTTCAGTTTTTTTTGGCAATAAAAATTTTGAAATTTTTTCTTTAAAAAACTGGAAAAAATTCTTTCATATGGATATGTTTCACACAGGTGAAAATTGTTCAAAAAAATCTTGTGAAAATCATCATCATCATCAAAAAAATAAGGATCGCCACGTTCCAACGTGTTCTACATTTATCAATTTCATTTTCATTATAAAAATTTATTTTGAGAAAAAAAATTTCTTTTGGAAGCTTTTATTGGATGACACCATCATCGTCAAATGTCCCATTGTTTATTTTCGGTGCATCTTTATTTATTTATTTATAATGGTAAATTTTGAACTCAAACATCATCATCATTATCATAATAATCGCAATAATAATAGCAATATCAATCATCATTGTCGTTCTTTTTATATGACTATTGTTCAACTATTATCACATCATCATCATTATCATTTGAATAAAATGGAACAAAAACAAAGATACTTTGCTTACTTCCCGTTTGCTGGTTTCATTCTATACAAAGAATGAATGATAATGATTCATTTCAACGGAATCTGGAATCAATTTTTTTTTGTTTGGTGATTTCTTTACGAAAATCCAAGTTTCTCAACACACACACAGAACAAGGAAAAAATTTTTCCGGATAACCGGAAAAGATAAAAAAAACTTACATTTTTCGGATTGTCCAAGGCATCGTTTTCGTCGTGGTCGTCATCGTTATCAATTTGGCACTTTTAAAAATTTTGGCTTAAAAAAAACTTCTTTTTTTGGCAAGCAAAAGACCCGGATAATTGTTGATTTTTCTGAAGTAAAACACAATATGATTTTGTGATCATCATCCAAATCATGAAATCTTTTGATTTATCATCATCATTTTAAGAATTTTTCATCTGAAAAAAATTGTTTTGATCACAAAATTCAATTATAGATGAAGATAAAATCATTAGCTTTGTTTTGAAGAAATGAAGGTTATTTAATCCTTTTTTTAAACGGCTTGTTTCAAATCAATCAAATAATCATTATTGTAAAAGTTTGTTTGGGGATTTTTTCAACAACAACAACAACAGCAAAACAAAAAAACTATTTAAAAAAATCAAAATTCTGAACACATAACATTGAAAATATTTATTTATTAATGGCACACACACACACGCACACCAACCACATAATTTTTTTTTCAATTTTGAAGATGATGTTTTGTGTTTATTTTGATGAGAATTTTCACATGGTTAGGATAATATTCACTTTGTATTTGAAAAAATCATTGAGAATCATCATCATTATAAGATGAAAATACATACATATTATTTAAATTGAATAAAATTGTTTTTCTTACCTGCTTCTGCTTGTTATTTTTTTTTATTTTCTTATTCAAGATTGACCATCGTGTCTTAACAATTGCGGTTTAACAAATATATTTTTTCCTACATTAACAACAACAACAACAAGCATTTTGATTCAAGATAATTTATAAAGATGATGATGATGATGAACCGTAGATATCACAGCTAAATATACTATTATAATGCCTGTATCCTGTTCATTCATTCAATCAAAGTTGATTCAGCCACATTGAAAAACCCAGTGAAAAAAGAAGAGAGAAAGTAAAAAAAAAGACACTAAGGCGCGCAAGGTAAGCCAGTTTGAATCATTATAATCATCATCAAACATCACTTTCTCTTTGAATCCAAATAATAAAAATCTCTTTCGTTTGACATTTTTTTTCAAAAAAAAAACATCCAAAATTTATGTTCATCTCGAAAATGAAAAAAAGTCTCACTATAATAAATCTAATAAATAAAATTAAAAGAGAAGCTTTAATGTTACTTGTATGGTGATGATGATGGTCATGGTGATGGAATTGTATTGATGATGAAGGATGTTCTGTTGTTTTAAAGTCGGGGACAATATGGATCATTGTTTGATTTTGGCTATGTGTGTTTTGTTTTATTTTTCAATTAATCATTCACCTTCATGTTTTTCATATTTCATTTTTGTCCTTGGAAATGACATTTTTCTTCAAACACAAAACGTTCTTAAAACGGACAAAACCTTTTTATATAAAGACAGAAACTCATTGATGATTACTATAATGTAATCATGTGTGATTGATTTGTGAAGATGTTATCTAAACATACTTTTAAATTGTTAACAAAATAAACAATAAAACAGCGATTATCATTAGTGATGAAAATTATAATATGTGTTTAACATGAAATTATTCGGCTGTTATTTAAAAAAGAATTATCATTATTTGATTAGAAAATGAATTATGGTAAACTAGGTATATCTGGGATTGTCCATTAAATTTTTGTCAAAATTTTTTCCAATAAAGAATTTTCCTTTTGAAACAAAAGGTGAGCCAACATATACGATGCGATTGGATTAAATTGATGATGATCTGAATTTGATTGATGATGATTTTTGTTTCATTATTTTTCTGTTTTGTTTTGTTATTTTGAAACAAAAGTCATGATGATGATTATATGGTAATGTTGCAAACAGCAATGGGGAAAAAAATAGGAAAAAAATCACTGTGTGATAAATTATGTAACGTAGCACACAGTAGAGTTTGATTAATAATTTTTTTACAATTCAAAATCCCGGATACAGCGGAATAGCTTAGAATGACTTATCCGTTAACATTTTCAACAAAAAAATGACCAACAACAAAATGTTTGATGGAAGTTTGTTTGTTTGTCTAAATATCTTTAGAGAAGAGCAAAATTATTCAGCTAATTAACAATGATTTTTAATGAGTGTAATGTTTAATTTAAATTTTGGCTTTCAAGCCGGAAGTATGCGGATGATCCAGTGTTAACAGTATCTAACATTTCTAGATTAACGAAAATTATTCCAAAATAAGGATTTTGCAACTTTGAATCATTTACAAATCATCGTTTTTTCATCATCTTCGACTAATGTCATGTTTTTTTTGATTGTATTACTAATCACGATTGAATTAATCTCAAATGATCTCTATAAATAAACAAGGTATTCAGTGAAAGCAGAGAAATGTCTTGGGAAGTGGCTGTTGAAAACTTGTTCAAAAAAAATTTCCATAAAAAATGCCAATAAATTTTCGATAGATGGCATTACTTTTGGGGCTTCGAAAAAAAACATCAACAACAACATTGCTCAATGCAGTCATGGTGCATCAACAACAAAAATTGATCAATCATCTTTGAAACAACGGTAAATTGAATCAAATTTCCGAGAAAAAATGTTTCATCGATCAACTAGTAATAGTTCAGCATCTCCCAATAATAATGATTCTAATGATCTAAATAATTATATCGCATCGATAAACAAGTAAGAGATGTTGATGGTTTGTTTCCAAATTCTTAATTATCATTTATTTTTGTTCACATTTCAAATAACAAAAAAAAGTTATGAAAAAATACGAGAAAATATTTGTCATAATGTTAAAGATTTAATAAAATCCTTATCAGCTTTAAATACAATTGAAAAGAAATGTATCGACAATCTATCATCATTGAATAGAGAAGATGAAAAATTGATACAATTGCTACAATGTTGGAATGAATTGATCGATAAATCAATGAAAAATCGTCAAGATTTAGCCATCTGTATATCGCATACGGTAGCTGAGCCAATGAAAAAATTTCAGATTGCATTTCAAGAAATAAAAAGTGCAATAAAACGTTACGAACAATTAATGAATGATTGTAATAAATATAATCAAAAATTATTAGCGTTAAAACGTCATGATCGTACATCGGATGTAATTGTCAAACAAAATCGCTTCGAAACATTATTGAAACGAACACAAATGGATTGTGAATCATTACGACAAACGCTTGAAAGAGAATTGCCAATATTTCTGGAAAAACGTGTCGAATATTTTCAACCATCATTTGCTTCATTCATTTGCTCACATATTTTATTTGCTGGTCTCAATTTATCAGCAATCGATCAATCCAATATGGATTTTTACGATCAAAACGAATCCGATCAACAGGAAAAACAACAACAACTATTCAATACAATCAATAATTTATCCATTATTAGTTGATGATGTTTTATTTTTTTAAAAAAATATTTAAATAAATAAAATCAATTTTTTCAAAATACATTATTATGAATGAAAGTAGACTAGGTGCGATTTTTTCAGTTTCTTTTTTTTACATAAATTTTTTGTACAAAATACATACATAAATCATCGAATGACGACGACAATAAATCAAACACCAGCCGAATAAGTTGAATTATTATCAGTAATTTTTATCGAATTTGTCATCGATTTTTGTACATTATTTTTTTCTTTTTCTTCTTTTCGGCAATTTTGTTCCAATGATGATGATGATACGTTTCCAAGTGTTACCAATGCCGAAGCCAGTGTAATTCCAGTTTGACCTGGTTTGTTTTTATATTTTGATGAGAAAAAAATTGATTGGCTTTCATTTAAAAAAACTCACCTGGTTGCGGTACAGATTGATTACCAGTGGGTAATTGAATCAACAATGTTAATATAGCAGCTTTTCCATTTGAACATGGTTCCAATGCTATTGGCGATGGATTGGATATAATCGAATCCTTATTATTGTTTACCTGTACAACAACGCCAGCAAATGGCCTTGATGCCATTTGTTCTAATTCGACAAAAAGTTGCTGTTTTTTCAATAACAAGAAAAAATTATTATTGATCATTAATGATGATAATGAATGATAAGAAAAAACATCAACAACAATCACCTGTCTTCGAACATAAAGTTCATAACGTTGTTTAATTTTCCACAACATGGCAGCAATAATGAGCAAGGTTAGAAAACAACTGCAAACAACAAAATTGAAAATTATCGATTAAAAAACGAAATATAAATAAGGGATACTAACCCAGAGAAGGTCAGAAAAAAATGAAGGATATCAATATTTCGATGTTGTGAGAATGAAATTTGCAATAAAAACGGTGTATGAAACGAATAAACATTGACCAAAAATGTTGCATTCTTAATACCAAGATCAGTGTATGCAAAACGTAATTTAATATTACCACAACGCATACCTTCATATAAACGTCTTATGACGATCATACCTTGTTTTGAAGAAAAAAATTAAAATTAAAAAAAAAATAAAAAATCAATAAACTTACTTGAATTTGAACTGGAACCAACCGAAATATTAACCATAGCACTATCCTGACATTGTACAGAGAATTCAATATCAATTTCTGGTGATAATGGTGTATTAATAAAATTGATACGTGTATAGAATAAATCATCCGGTTTGGACATATTAAATGTATACGTATAACTTGTAGATAGATTATAATAACAAGAACCATTCAGATCCTGTGGATTACCCACATAATCACGTTCATCACATTTATCACAATTATGTCCAATGATTCCTTTTGTTGTACAACTACATTGTCCAGTTTCAGAATTACAAAAATCACCATGACCATTACATGAACAGGGAAGACAAATACCACCATTGATTGGATTACCATAATAAGTTGGTCGACAATGTTCACAGTTTGTGCCTTCAGTATTATGTTGACAAGGTTGATCACATAGACCCGGAAAACGACATTGACTATGTCCATTACATTGACACTTTGGACATGAAGTAAAATACCATTCCGGACAGGAGTTGGTTCGTGATGAATTATTTGGTCCACGTAATGAACCTGCCATACAGGTTCCTGCACCAGTACCGGATCCATCATCACACCAGCCACATTGAGGATTTTTCATACAGGCATCACAAGTTTGAATATCCGAACACGATATTACTGAGCATTTATGCGGATGTGTTGTCCATTCCATACATTGCCCGATTGGATAGATAATTGAATAGGCATTCGATTCGATACATCGTTGTTGCGAACTACACCACATACATGATCCTTGTGTACAATTTACACAGGTTGTACGTGTATGACATGGTGATGAACAACTAACCTGCAGTTTATCCGCCAAATTCATACTATCCAATTTGATTTCGGACCATTTTTCATACATCATACTAACACATTTTCGATCTCTTTGCCATGAACAATAATGTTCACTTTGACATGAATGACAATTATGCATTTTATCACAATTCGATATATGAACATCACGGGATTCACACATTTTAGCATCGTTGATACTTTTTAAAAATGATGATTGAGGAACGTCTTTGATCGACAACAATTCTTTTGGCTTGGTTTGTGTATTACATTTTTGATAGGTACATTGATCACCACACCAAACACAATCATATGAATTTCGTAGACAAGTAGAACAAATGAATTGTTTTTGACATAATTCAGTAAAATTTACACGTAAATTTTCATCACAATTTTTAAATGAGTACTTGATTTGATTGTATGATTGACATAGACGTTTTTCTTTATTCCAAATACATTTGGTGCCAATTTTTTTCGTATGACAATCATTCATTGTTTCAAGATTCGAACAATTACCGGGAATGAAACGGATCAATTTATTATGCATAAAACCATTGAAACCACCAAAAACGTAAAGAGAGTCTTCATAAACAATAGAGGAATGACCATAACGGCCAATCATTGTTGTATCATATGTATTGGTAAGTATGGGATTTTCTAATGTTGTCCATGTATCACAGGAAATATCGTAGGCAAGAAAATGTGGTGAAAAACAAGTTGTACTAGTATTTTCATCAGTTAAATTATGACCATTACCACCGAATATCAATAATAAACCATTCATTAATGAGGCAGAATGTAAATATCTTGGCTGATTACTTGGTGATAATAGCATCCTGTTCAAATAAAATGAAGATTTTCAATCATTCATTCCCCCTTAAAAATATATAAATAAAACTTACCAGGATTCTTTTTTAGGATCATAACTATAAAGAAAATCAACAAGAACATTATCAGCAAAGCTTGATGAATGATATCCACCAAAAACATAGATAAAACGAGTTATATGATCATAGGTACTTGTGTGACCAAAACCACCTTTAACCGAAGCACCGGTTGTTTTTACAAGTTTCCATTCATTTGTATCTGATTGAGAAAAAATCATTAAAAAAATTAAAAGAAATCAAATATCAGGGGAAAATAAATATTACCAATATTATAATTTTGTACATGATTTAGATAGCCGTATGTAGGATTATAACCAAATATAATGATCATTATATTGTTGATCAATGTTGCCGTATGGCCCATCGATGCAATTGGACAACAAAATTCCGAATTTGTTAGTGATTTAGTTTCGGATTGCAAATGCCAAACATTATTGTTAATATTATATGTCCAAAGTTCGGAAACAATATGACCATTACGAAGAATACCACCATAAAGATAAATGGTATGATTAAAAACAATAACCGAATGTCCAAATCGATCATCCGGTATATTATTATGATGATGATGATGATGGTGATGGCTAGGATGTTTGAAAAGATTATCCCACTTTTTTTGTTTCATATCATATTTAATAAGAAAATGTTCATTATGATTAAAATATTCACCACCAATGATAAACATTTGATCATCATAGATAATGGCTTGATGTAGCGCACGGCCATCTGGTTGATTGGTTGTTGTTATTAATGACCAATATCCTTCATATTTGATTTGATTACAATCGATACCAATATAGCCATAATTACAAATACATTTATGTTCAGTACGATCACAAATACCATGACCGGAACAATCATTCGGACAAATTGGCTGATCACAAGCTTGACCTTTATAATCAGCATCACATGTACAACGATCGCCAACACAAACACCATGATTTGAACAATTTCTTGGACAAGAATCAATACTGAATGTTATATTAAAGCCACTCATATTATATGCGGCATCACTATAGAAATAAATATAAACACGACCAGATTTGGCCGTTATTTCAGCCAAACGATATGAATAACGTTTATCATTGATCAATGAACCACTTAATACGGCCAACATTGGTGATTGTATTGAATCACCATCAAATACATATAAATGATCCCATGAACATTCCGTTTCAAAATAATCAATCTGCAAACGTATTGTAGCATTGTTTGTTTCACTATCGATCAGCCAAATACATTGTAAATCCGAACTATAATTTCCTCTGCCATCGGTTATATAACCAAATGTTGAATTCATTCTATCAATGAGACAATAGAAGGATAATTATTCTCCAAAATAAATTTCCTTCCCACTTTACCTAATACGACCACCACATTGATCACAGGATGAACCACGCCAACCAAAATGACAAACACACAGTTCACCAACACAAAAACCATTGATACAATTATCATTATCACAAACTAATTCTGGTCGTTGTAATTTTGGATATATTCCGGATAATGACCAACATTTTATATTCAAAATAATAAAATCATTCAATAATAAAATAAACAATAATAATGATAATTGATGAAACATTTTACGAAAGGATTTTCTACGAAATTTTGCTTTTATAATAAACAAAAGTGTTATTAAACAACTCATTATGATTGTGGTGATGATGTTGATTGATTGATTGATTGAATGGAAAAGAATGATGATGTATTTTTCTCACTATAGCACTATTGGTTGGATATTTACTGCTACTTTTTAAAAAAACAAACAATAAAATTGTTTTGATTCGATTTGGAAAATATGAATTCAACAAATGATGATTATTTTGTTGTCTTTATCATCCTCATTATCGTTGTTGTTGTTGTCATCATTTTTGATCATGTTCTAACAGAAAAAAAAAGATTTGAATGATCAAAATGATTATTGATTCAGGATAGATAGATAGATGTCATATCACAGATCAAACTTTCACACAAACAACAATCAAAATCTTTACAAATTTTTGCAAAAAGATTAATCCGGAAAAAAATTCTTCTTCACCAAGAAGATTATATCATCAACAACAACCAACAAGAGCAAAAAGATAGAAAGAAAGATAAAGATATGTGTTGGGCAATAACAACATTGAAAAATCAACAACAACCGAAACACACTGAAGAGAGAACACACAATGCAAATAATGTTCAGGCAACTCCAAAATGATTTTTTTTTTTTTGATTAGAGTTTGCGCTCTTGGATTCGCGTTTCGTTAAAAAAAACTTGATTTTTTTTTGGTAATCTTCGCTGCTTCGTTTGCGAATTGACATTCGATTTGGCGAGAAGAAATTTATTCGAAAAAAAAACTGATTTTAATCAGGATTTTTTGTTGTTGTTTATAAAATGTGTTTTCTGGGAAATAAAAATAAATGAGTAATAAATTGGCAAAAATAAAAAGATAATAAAAATGATTTTGTTTTTTTCAAATTAAAAATAAATTTCTCGCACCATATGATGAATATTTTGACAAATTCGTTGACATTCAACAATCATTTTTGAACAATGATGATTCATTTCGATTATTTGCAACTTGATCGATATCCAACCACATTCACCATTGATAATGGATTGATGGAAAAATAAATCCGGTACATTGAATACTTTACAAACATAACGGATATGCTCTCGATTCGAATTCAATGCCCAAATTAATTGACCAAGATTTGTACAAATTTCTTTGATAAAATCAAACAATTCAATAATTATTTGTTGTTTATGAAATTTTTGTTCATCTAAACTAATGATTGTTGATAATAATTGACAAATATCATGACCATTTTGAATCAGATTTCGACGACGATCAATCAGATTTTTGGTGGAATTCTTTTGGAAAATTAACAACAAAAATTAGAGAAAACTTTGTCTTTTGGTTTCGAAACTTACAATAATTTCCAATAAACATTCCAAAATTCGTTCATAAACATTGAGAAAATTTATCGAATTTTTGAAATTTTGTAAACGTTTTCGTTTCATGATACGTTCCAAATGATAATCGATACGATTTTCCAATGAAAATAATGAAATTTTATTGATTTCGGTAAATTGAATCGGTTCAATCATTTTTTGTTTCACTCAAAAGAAAAAAACAGAAAATTTGTGACAATAAAATCAAATAAAACGAAAATTTCGAAATCACTTCATTTGGTGATGATCAAAAAAAAACTTTTCGAAATTTTCGAAATTCAAATTTTTTTTTAAAGGAGGAGCTAAAAAAATGTTCGGATTCGATTTTTTCCAATTTTCGACTGCTGTTTCAAATGCATTTCCAAAATTGATTTTTTTGTTGATTGAAATTAATTCGACAAATGTGATCCGCATTCGATTCATATCGTATCAGCACGATTGTTGACATGTTCCAAATCAATAACCGATTAGCCCAATATTCCAATTTGTGATCATTGTGTTTGTTGTTGGCCATATTTAATTCATTTTGATCGTAATCATAATCATCGCTATCGATTATTGGTTCCATTAATAAATTATTTTCAATTTGTACAACATATCGATATTTTCGATTCGATTGTTGTTTCCATTCGAATATTCGTAATGAATTAGCAGGAAATTTGATTAATATGATCATTTTGATTTCATCATCATCATTATCGTCATAACGATGTATAAAAATTTCACCGCCATCGTTATCACCATAATGAATTTTGAATTTTCGTGAAAATTTTTCCCAATCAATATCCGTGCATACAGTTTCGTTGCGTAATTGGGATAGAAATTCTTCTCCCAAATAGGAATCATTATTACGAACGGGTAGACAAAATTCTTCGAATTCTACTTTTCTATCATCCGTTTTCGAATTATTTCCAATGTTGAAAAATGTTGATAAATTCAAATCATTATCGATTTTTGTTGATGTAAAAGATGATGATGATTTAAATGTTATAATCAGATAAGACGCAATCAAAATAATTAACAATAATAATAATAAAAGGGTCATCCATAATCGGATTAAACATTTGCATGATGTTGGCATTTTTGTTTGGACAGAAAAAAAACCAAAATCAAATCGAAATAAAATTCTTTGGTTTTATTATTTTGCAACAAACACACAGCACACACAAAGAGAAATAGAAATCATTTACAAAATCAAAATAAATATTTTCAGAGGAAAAATTATAAAATGAAGATGATCGATGAGTATTGATTGATTTTCATTTAAAAAATTTAAATAACATGACTGTTGTTGTTTTGCAGTTGTTGTTGCTGTGTTAAACTAAAATCTTCAAGAACATCTGAATCATCATCGTTCGAATCATCATCAGTGACAATGACTAGATCAGATTCTTCTTCATTTTGTGGCAAACGATTAAAACCACCATAACGTTTATCACCCAAACGTAATGATTTACGTTTCGATGATGATGATCTTGATGATTTTAAAACATTACTTAAACTAATACGTTCACTATTCATCTTGGTGGAACGATTGGAAATCAATCGAAATTTCATTGAATTCAATAATGATGAAAATATTAATGAAAAAAATCTTAATGTTGATGATGTATGATGAATATTCAGTATCATAATGAATATAAACAATGCAAGAAGGACAAAATATAAAATATTGTTGGACCAAACTTTTTCACGAAATTCTTTCGTACGAATTTGTAACAATTCGAATGAAAAATTAACATTGGATATGGCTAAATTTTTTTCCTTTTCATCAATTTCTGTTGATTTATCTTTTGTATTGTTGGTTAATATTTTCGATTTGATTGGCATGCCATTGTTCGATATCATTTTCATTGCTTGTTTTGATTTTAATTTATCAACGATCATTTTATCAACAAAAGGTTGCTGTTGCTCCATGGGTTTAGCTGTAAAGAATTTGTCAAATTAATTATTTCAGGGGAAAAACATGATAATAACCACTTACAATTAATAAATTTCCAAATATAATTCGGACCAATTTCGACAACAAACACTTCGTTACCGGACGGAGATACGGCTAAATCGTGTGGTTGATTGAATGTCTGAATAATTTTTTGAAAGGAAGAAAAAATGAAATTAGAAATCAAGAAATCCAACAAAACGAAAACAACATACTCCAGTTAATTTTGGTACAAAAGTAGCCAATGGTTGTTGTGTTTGAAAATCGAATGCAAATGCCATCACGGTCGATGATTTCTGATCCATATCGGATGGCGGTGGTGGCATCAATGATGGTCCATTTACTGCATATAAAATGTTCATTTGTTTGGAATAAGCAATGGAAAATAATCTCCCATTAAATTGTGGTAAACGTATCTGGAAACGAAATTGTCCATATGGTGTAAGAAAACATTCGATACGTCCATTTTCACGATCAGCAATGCATGCAAGTTTTTCATCATCCGCTTCCTGATCGATTAACAAAATTTTATGCGGAACATTTAATGAATTTGGTGATGGACGAATCGATTGTAAATCGCCACTGTTAATAATCGGTTTATGTCCCCAATGATTAAGATATTTTCCATTCGAATCAAAACGAATGATACGACTATTACAATAACCATCGGCTACATATAGATCACCATTATTATAATCAATGGCTACGGATGTTGGTTTACAAAAATGTTTGTCATCATCACCCGGTTTGAAACGTTCACCCAGTACTAATAATGGTTGTTTTCGTTCAGATCGATTAAGTGAATAACGAAATATTTGATGCATAGCAACATCAGTCAGCCAAATTGAATGATTTTTCTGATCAATAGTTAGACCATGTGGCATGAAGAAAAGATTCTCACCCCAACTGTCAAGAATTTTTCCCGATTTCGGATCAATAGTTATGATTGTTGATTGTGCAATAGGCCCGTTCTGTATACGACGATAATTATTCTGCCAATCAAATGATAATTCATTCCATACATGTTTTCCACGATGAAATATCACTACATTTCCGGATTGGTCAAAATCAACGGCTGTAATTTGTCCAAATTGAAAATTATTTGTTGGCCAATCTGGATCCTGAATAAATTCCAATTGTTTTCGTGCAGATTCCTCTTCATTCATAACATCACCATCACTATGATTTGGATCAACATGTTGATGTGATGAATGTTGTCCAATAGCTGATTGTTCCAATGTTATATTCCGTGGTAATGGTTGATCATTTCCATCAGGAAGATTAAGATATAAATCCGATTCAAATTCAATACCACTACAAGAATCAATATCAGAACGTTGTTCATTCAATGAATAAAAAAATGCTTTCGACATTGAATCATCAGCCATCAGCAATGGATTTTCCGAATAATACATCAAATATAGATTGCACATTTCATCACCAGCAGTTGAACCCATTCTGGTTAATGTATTACGTTCACTAGAATTGTATGTACAACGTGCAGCAATAATATCTTGACTATTGATTTGCATTAAATTATCATTATCTGACATTGGATAAAACGCTTGTGGCCATTGTGGATTACCTTTAGCAATAAGGTCCCATTTATTTTTATTATGTGAATAACGATAACCCGAAATAACCGTACCTAATGCGTGGGCATGTACACGATAAGCAAACACTGTGATTGGATCACGATTTAGACGACAATTTATATCAACATGATATTTTGATTGATGTGGTGGAATTATACCATCCACAGATGATAGCAACAGTATTCCAGCGATATATGGTTGTGGTTGAACGGTGTACAGCAAGCGAACACCACTTGAATCATGTTCTTGTAATGGATGTGAATAATGTGATTGCAATATAAGATAATTTATATCGGATAAACCACCAACATGAAAACCAACATCCGGTGGCAGTTGCAATGATGGTGCATTACGGCCCCATGCATATATGATACGCATACCTGGACAAATCGGTAGATGTATACAAGGCCAATGATTTGGATATAATAATTGATTATGATGATTTTGAAGATTTTTACAACCAAATATTATAATATGATGTATACGATTTGAATTGGCATTTGGATCGAACTTCTTAATATAAATTTCCTCGTTACTTATATTGATTGATGTACAAAGATAATCATCATTTTTTCGTGGCAATACATTTGGCATTTTCAGTTCTAATGTATACAATAAATCGCTCGTTTCGGATAATGATTTTTTCGGCACAATTTTCAATTTTACCATTTTGGTTGAAAAGAACAAAATGATTATTATGGAAAATAATAGAGAAAATTCAAATGTATGATTCATATTCATCAGCATTGTGTCGACAATCTAATATAATTTAATGGAAAAATGTTTACGTCGAAACGAATTTATTCCTGATCCATATGGAATGGGAACAGTTTTCTTGATGACGACGATATCAGTAACTGAACTGTCAATGACAAATCATGTCGATGTTTCAAAGGATGTCGATCTTTGATGATATCCGCTCGAATAATTTTTTTTTATAATTTAAAACTTAACCATTTGACAATTAGCTTAAACAATTTTGCAATGTTGGCATTTGATTTGCAATGCTGCTACAACAATATTCTTACCAAACAAACAACCGAACAGAAAACAAATACCGTTAGCAATTCGAATGATTATTCTGATCACGTGATCATCCATATACCGTACGATTGTTTTTGAATGGAACCGACCAGGAAAAAAACAGGCATCATTTTTTTTCACTTTATTAAATTGAAAAGAAAAAAATTTCTCATATAAAACTGACGTATCGTAGATCGTCGTCGAATGGTGATGGTTAAAATTTTCTGGTACAAATTTTAAGTGATCAATTTTTCTCTTCCATTCATTATTGATTTGTAATCATCATTGTTTAACCTTTAAATTAATTTTTCAAAATTGTAAATCTTATTTAATTCAATTTGGAAAAGTTATAAAAAAATAACAAAGTTACACGTGTTTTCAATAGATTTTTCGCAGCCAAAACAAAGAAAATAAAAACAAAACCATGTTTATTATTTGGATACAATATTTTATTTGTGCCATTTTTTCATTTACATTCATTAAATTTGCTCATGCAACACATACTGAATATGAGGATTTAGGTTTCTATCCACAAAAAGAACATTCATTGATGAGACCATATCAAGGTTTGTCCTGATTAATAATGTTTATTTCGAGAAAATTATTGAATGAAATTTGATTTTTTTCCACACAGGTTCGGGTATGACAATACCGAATTGGGATATATATGGTCATACGATTGTTTCAAGCAATTTTATCCGATTAACACCTGATCAACAATCAAGATACGGTGGTTTATGGAATAAAATAGTATGTTTTTGTCTCTTTTTTCTCATGTTGATGATATTCAATTGTTTTCGTTCTAGCCAATAACATTTCCATATTGGGAAGTTCATATTGAATTCAAAATATCTGGTCACGGTAAAGATTTGTTTGGCGATGGTATGGCAATCTGGTATGCTAAACATTCAATGCAGCCAGGTAAATTTCAATTTCATTTTGATTGGATTTTTGATGAATTTTTTGTTTACAAGGCAATGTTTTCGGCAGTGCGGATTATTTCTGGGGTCTGGGCATATTTCTTGATACATATGCCAATCAAAATGGTGCACATTCGCATACACATCCATATATTTCGGCTATGGTGAATAATGCTACGATGGCTTATGATCATGATCGTGATGGAACGCATACCGAATTGGCCGGTTGTGAAGCAAAACTTCGTCAAACTGAACATGACACTTATTTGGCTATTCGTTATTATAATGATACATTAACTTTAATGACCGATGTTGATGGAAGTGGTGAATGGACTGATTGTTTTTCATCCCAAGGTGTTTATCTACCGTTGGGTCTTTATTTGGGTGTTACAGCTGCAACCGGTGATCTCAGTGATAATCATGATGTTATTTCTATAAAAACTTATCGCCTTGAAACACCAGTACATTTGTTGGATAAATTGAATGAAAGAGCTATGATCATTCCACATGCCTTAAGTTCGGCACATCCACGTGATCATATTGATGATGATCATTCATCCGCCAGTGGCCGTATGAGTTGGTTACGATTTTTTTTCTATACATTTTTAGCCATTATTGTACTGATTGTTGCCGTGGTTATTGGATTATTATTCTATCAAAAACGACAGGAAGTTTCCCGAAAACGTTTCTATTGAAAATGATATTATTCCAGCTTTTTTCCTTTAAAAACTATTCTGTAATTATGTGGTGACAAACGAAAAACAAAAAACGCAACTTTTTTCCCGGAAATAATTATTTGTAAATATTAATAATTTTTCAAAAAACAAAAAATCTGTCAAACATTCGAAATTTGATATCCTAAAATTCTTTGTAACGTTGTTTGTGAATAAATTCTTCAAGACGATCTTTTGTCGATCAAGTTTAATTGGAAAATTAATTTATTTTTAACTTGTAAATAATGAGAAATTAGATTTTTTTTCTGGCAGATAATGGAATCTACAAATGATGATGACCATCATCAACAACAATCATCATTCGATCGACAACAAAAACAGGGAGCAGCCAATTTTTTCGATTATGAAGATGAAGAAGATAATTTAACAATCAATTCTTCGACTTCTTTAGACAAAAAAATACCAGAAGATTCATCATCGACAACATTGTCGAAAACTGTAAACAAATCCATCAATGTTGAAAATAATTTCGAAAAAGATGGAAAATTCTGTGTTGAATTTATTGATGATAATATTGATCAACGAATGGCCCGATTAATCGAATCGAATCTAAATTCTTCAACAACAAAATGTTCAAATACATTCAATAATGTACAGAAATTATCAACAAGGCAAGCTGTTGATAAAATTATAGCTGGAGATCATGATCATGTAAATCTTTGTGGATTCAAAGGACGAGAACAAAAACTTGAACTATTGGATTATGCAATACTTAGTGGAGATAAATATACGATAACATTGGTGATACAATTTCTGGAACATACACTAAAACGATCGATAATGTTTTATGAACTGATTCGACGTCCAATTGCTGCTGATCATTATCTAATTTATTTACATTCCGATGGACGATTGGATGAACAGCTAAATATAATGAATATGATGGGCCGATATGAAGATGCTGCATTTGCATCGTATTCACGAGCTGTATCACCATCGACAATGAATAAAACTGATGCTCAACAACAACAACAAATTCGTTTATTGGAACGTGCCTTATCCAATTTTACAACCGGTGGTAATGAATTGATTCAATACCATTCATTAATTCAGGAACATATCACACTGTTAAAACATCAACTTCCAATCGAATCGGATGATCGTCGTCGTTGTGAAATGATTTTACATTCGAATTCGAACGTAGAGAATGTTGATTCGAATATTGAAGACAATCAATCATTTGTGATACACCAACCACGACCTTGTTTAATCGGTCTTTCATTAATGAAAACATTATATTATTGTCACCTTTATCATCATCATCTGCCGGATAATAATTTTGCATCACCATTTCATCTGAAAAAACAATTTCATATCAGTGAACGACAATTCTTATGGATTGCATTACAATCACTGGCCAAAACAATGCGTTGGCAGGAGATTGATACACTTTTCGAATATAAAGTAAGTTTTCTTTAGGAATTTTCTTTCCATTAAAAAATCCTATTTTCAGTCATGGCTTGGCAGTCGCAAAATTCGCCGTAATATAATACCAATAGTTGATATTGTTGAAATATTGCAAAAAAACTCAGCACCAAAAGAAATGTTGGAAAAATATCTCGATCTTGTTGATGATATCGAAAAACGTTTACAGTTGGCCAAAGAATTTCAGATGAATAAATATGCTGCCGATGTAAGTTGAATTGATTGAATTTGGAGAACAAAATTGATTAATCATTATTACAGATTCTGATAAAACTACGTGATCGTAAACGTTTAAATGAATTACGTACATCAATTTTGGGTAAAATGAATGAAATGGATGTTCAACGTTATATTGATAATGCATTAATTGCTACGACAATCAAATGGCGAAATTAATTTTTTTTTTGAACATTACATCATTCATGAATGATGATTTACATTCCAAAAAACATGAATTTTGAAAACATGTGATTTTTGTATAATTTCTCAATAATAAAATGATGTTATTCAATCGTCAATTTTATCGTTTTTTATTGAATCAAAATAATAAAAAAATCATTCATAAATTATCTAGTCGATCGGTAAATCTTTTGGTACCTGATCTTGAGGATGAGCGCCAATTACGAAGAGTTCAAACAAGAGAAAATTTCGATGAAGTTTATTCACAACTGAAACTTCCATTTAAACTTAGCCATTATCCGGAAATTAGTCGTGAATTTATTCGTCAACGATTGGATGAACATCCACAAGGATACGAACCAATTGAATTGGAAAAATATTCCGAATTATGGCTTCGAGAACAAGATGTTGATGGTCAACAAACGATACGAAAAGATGTCGAAATGATTCTAATGTATTATAATGATGTTTTACGATATTCATTGTTTGCTCCATCAACAATTCCATTTGATGGTAAGTAAATGAATGTCTGTGGAAAACTTGTTTACGAAAATTTTCTCGTCCCACAAAACAAGATATGGAAAAAATGCTAAATGAATACCAAGGCCACGGATCAAGATTACGTTATGTAAATTTTATTTTTATCCGAGAATTCGATAGTTATCGTCGTCTAAAAGAAGCTGAGGAAAAATCTCGATTAAAACGTTTGGCTGAACAGGAAGATTATTTCGAAGATATCGGTTGTTTCGATACGAAAACAAATCAATTACAATATGGTCATTTTCGTAATTCTTTATTTACAAAGTATTTTCAAATGGCACGTCATCGTCAAACAATTCAATCATTACGTCGTGCACAATCATTCGGACAACCATTAATAATCGATTGTGGACTTGAACGTTTGATGGCACATTATGAGATATTATCCTGTGTACGGCAAATATCTCGAATTTATCATCTGAATCGTTATAGTTTGAATCCATTCAAATTATTATTCACTGAATATGATCGTAATCATAATCGTACATATGAATCATTGGAAAAAAATATGCATCAATTTATTGATAAACCAGAATTTTGTTTCAATTTACATCAAGAATCATATCAACAATTATTGCCAAATGAACGATTCATTTATCTAAGTCCAGATGCACGTAAAGTTATGCAAGAATTCGATCCAGATGCTTGTTATATAATCGGCGCATTAGTATCGAAAACACAAAAATCAACATTAACATTGGATAGAGCTAATGAACAAGGATTAGAATGTTTACGTTTGCCGATCCATCAGTATGTTCGTCTGAAACCAATGGTTAAACGAATACTCAGTTTTCGTGGTACGTTTGAAATTCTTTTACACTTGAAACACGGTGCTACATGGGAACAGGCACTGCGTCGTTCAATTCAACCGCATAAATTGATTGATTGAAGGCCTATTAAAATTTTGAAAAAAAATGTAAAAAAATTAATAAACGATACAATCATAAATTCAAGATTGTTGACGTAATTAATTTAATTTTGTACAAATTTAATTTAGCGTATCAAACTAGACTTGAAAACTATTGATGTTTTTTATTCAAGTTTTCAAGTAATGAGAATACGCGGAATTGGTGGATGATAGTGATGGTACATACCTTTTTAAGAAATAAATGACACTTTTGTTTAGGAAAATCTGTAAAGGAAAATGAAAAAGATTGTACCATTAAAACAGGATTATTTGATTTTTACGAAAAAATTACTTCATCAAATCAGTACGAATAAAGGCAAAAATTTTTTTATCGTGCTTTGCTTGGCCTGATATCCATTTGAATTTTGTTAGAATTCAGGTTCAAAGAAACACGAACTAATTTTGAAACTTATCAAAAACAAAAACTTACCAAAATTTCATTTTCCAACGAAACCAAAAGAAAAACCACGTTTGCAAATGCACGTTTGTTTGCTTTTTGCTCTCAAAGTGATGGACGAATTCCACATGTGGATACTATCGCAAAAAAAACGCACTGTTCTTGGAAACAATTTCATCATTTTGTAAATTTTTCTTTTCATTTTCCAAATAGATCGACAATGGAATCATCAAACATTAATCAGAATAATGAATTTCGATTCGAATCGGATACAGTATCATTGGAAGATATTCGTCAACAAGTTGTTGAGAAAACACAAAATAAACAATCGACAAATACAAGAAATTTGTTTCTGGATCTATTCGATAGTGTTGGACAAATATCATCGAAATTTCGTGATCATACCGATAATGATTGTAAGGTTGGCCTACCTGAATGGTCGGATGATGAACGTAAATCATTGGAAACGGCCGTAAATGTAACAATGGAAAAATTGATTAAACTTTCGGATAAATGTCAAATTGATTTGGCTGATGCAACTCTGAAAAAAATGGATAAAAATAGACAAAAATATCCAGTTGAAAAAGCATTTGGAATGGCAAAAAAATATAATGAACTTTAACTAATTTTCTTTGTAATGAATCTTGTTTCCAAAACAAAAATTGAATAAAAATTTTGATTAAAATAATTCTGTACCGTTGTTTATGAATGAATTTCTTTTTCGTCGAAAAAACGAATTTTTTGTTCCTTTGTCTATCACACTCGTTCGCCATTTGTTTTTCGTTTTTTGTCGATCGATCGATCCAAAAATGTTCATCAAAAAGGTAAAATTAATCAAAGATTTTCGAATCGATTATCATCGATTTTTTTCTGTTCTAATCACCCCTCCACAATCGAATCAAAATAGATAATCATTTCAGGATTTCGTTCCTATAAATATTGCCTAATCGATGATCTATGTCCCGGTTTGAATGTAATTGTCGGATCGAATGGTTCGGGAAAATCAAATCTAGTGATGGCATTAGAATTTGTATTGACACAAAATTATAATCGTTTAAACGAACAACAACGATTATTGTTAATGTGTAATCAAAATCAGTCGAATAATGGATCTGCAAAAACAATCGAAGCATTTGTCGAATTACATTTCGATAATGAGGATAAATTTTTCCCTGTAAATGAACCATTAGTGATTATTAAACGTCAGATAACACGAACAAATGACAATTTTTTTATCAATGGTAAATTGGCTAAAAATGATGAATTGATGGCATTCTTGGAAAGTGGTGGTTTTTCCCGAGATAATTCGTACTTTATTGTAAAACAAGGTCTTGTCACGGATATTGCTACAAGTAATCCGAAAAAAATTCTCGACATATTACGTTGTATGAGTGGTGCACAAAAATTTGATCAGAAAAAAATCGAAGCATTGCAATTGATCAAAGAAAACGAGCAATTAGTTCAACAAATTGGAATGAAAATTCAGCTTATGGAAGATGAACTATCGATGCTAAACATCGATACCGAAGCAATTCAACGATATGAACGATTATCAAAAATTAAAAAATACCTAACAAGTCGAATCAAACAAATAACATTGGAAGAATTACAACAGCTACGTCAAGAACATCAGCAAGAATTTGCTCAAAGTCAAATAAATCTGGAACAATATCAACAAAATCTTTCGCAAATTCAAGAATGTTTGGAGGAAAAAAAACAACAACGTCGAGAAATTCGTAATGAAATTTTAGATTTAAAAACAAAATTTGAATCATCAAAACTTTTAATGGAAACATTGATGAATGAATTGAGTGATCTGCGCCAACAACGACAATCATACGACCAACAGATTGTCAATAATGATTTGGAACAAATCGGTTCATTAAAACAGGAATTAGCCGAAGAAGATTCAAAACTAAAAGATAAAATTGAAGAATTAAAGGATATTTCGAAAGTGGAAAAAGAATTGCAAGATAAATTAAAATCATTGGCAAGTAAACGTATGAATTATTTGAATTGGATTCAATTGGTTCAATCAACAACTGGTGATTCACAGGAACAAGATTTATTAATCCACGATAGATTTTTGCAACCTTTAAATGAACAAATTCAAGAACTTCAAATGGTGATTACAAATCAACGTGAAGAAACATTGCCAAATTTGAAATCGAAAAAATCCGAACTGATGAAATTGATGAAGAAAAGTTCGGATGAACGAAAATCTCGATTACAACGATCAGAACCATTGAAACAAGAATTGGCCGATTTGGTTTTCCAACAAAAATCGAATAAACTAGAGCTATGCAAAATTATGAGTCAATTGACCGAACTGCAAAAAGAATCAATTTCAATCAAAAACGATGTTAAAGAAATGGAAAATCGTCTGGATATTTTTGGTTCCATAATGAAAACCAAACACAGCATTCAACAAGTTTTGCAATCATTTCAATCAAAACTAAGCATCGAAGACGATGGTGATGATGAACAACGACAACACGCTGAACGTATTATAAATGGCTACCATGGACAAGTAATAGATTTTATTGAATTGGTCAAACCAGTCAATTATGCTATGGAGGTATTGTTGAAAAATAATCTATTTTATCATGTTGTTTCGGATGAAAGTATTGCCATCGAATTGTTGAATGAAATTTCACGATTGAAATTGTTTGGATCGTTCAATTTTTTGGCTGGGAATCGTTTGCCATTGGAAAATGAGTCATCGATTGGACGTGGCTTAGATAAACTATGTCAGCCACTTTTCAATTGTATACGTAACAAACAGCCAAATAATGAACTGATTGAAAATGTTTTGCGTCATATTTTTAATGGTCTTTATATTGGACGATCATTTCAGGATTGTTGGACATTGTTTCAGAAGAGTCGAAATTGTGATTTTGCTACGCTCGAAGGCGAAATGATCGATCATAGCGGTGTGATTCGAAAAGTTAGAAAGAATCAACTGACCAAATTTGAATTGTATCAAAAATTGTTGGTCAATCAAAGACGGTTGAAAGAAATTCACGAAAAAATCGAACAATTAGAATCGGATCGTGATCGAATTTTGAATGAAAATCTTGAAGCCCATCGCCAAGAAACGATGAAAAAACAAGAATTATCCGAATTACGGGATTGGATCCAGAAACAAAACGAAGAAGAAGTGGATTCAAACGAATCAGTTATGGCCAAAAAATTGGAACAAATTGAAAAAGAAATTGAATTCGAAAGAAATTGTCTGTGTTCAAATGAAACACGAATGTCTTGTTTGGTTGAAGAGAAAAATTTCTGGCAACAAAAATCCAAATCTGATCCCGATGTTTTACAATCAGAAATTCAAGATCTCAACGAACAAATCGAAGCCGTTGAAAGTGAAATTCATCACACTTCACATAAACGAACATTAACAGAAAAATTGATTCAGGATTTGAAATTATCCACACAAAAATTGAAAACAAAAATAATGCAAATTGAATATGATCAATCAAATCAACAATCAGCGATCAAAAATTGTGAAAAATTTGATCAATTTGAACGAGAATGGAATGAAAAGATTGAAAAACTCCATCGAAAAATTTCTGAATTCAATCAAACGCTCACAACTAAATCACAATCGAAATGTGAACTTGCAAGCGAAATAGACCATTTGGAACAGGAATGGGAAAAAGCAAAGAATGAATTGGAAACATTGCAAAAATCCTTTCAAATCAAAGAAGATGAACGTAAAAATCTTGATTCGCAAATTCAGAATATTATGGTCGACATTGAACAAGCTGGATTGTTTTCGAATGGTATGAAAATGTTTTTTCATTAATATAATTAATTTCTTCATTTGTTTTCATCATAGATTTTATACGAAATCTTGATAGTCAATATCGGAATCTAAATACAATCGGCCAAATGAATAAAGCTGTAAAAGACTTGAATCGTCAGCTGAACCGGTTGATTCCTGGCGGGAAAATCAATCATGATTTATTGGAAGCATATGATGAACATCATCAGGCTATTGATCATTTGAAACGTGAAAAAGAAATACAAATTAGGAATGCAGAAAAGATCTACGACCTAATTCGAATAGTCGAACGACGAAAAAATGAAATTATTATGCGCACATATAAGCAGGTTAATGTTAATTTCAAAGAAATTTTTAAACAATTTGTGCCAGGTGGTGTAGCTTCGTTGCAATTTATCACGCGTAATGTTGATTCATCAATGGAATCATCATCATCATCAACGACAACAACAACAGCTACAACATCGAATGGTTCGAATGAGACTAGTATTAGAAGTGAAACAATAACGGATCCATCATCATCATCATCTAATTCAATATCTTCGCAATTATCGCAAGGTATTTTTCATTCAAATTCATCATTGTCATCCTTTTTCCTATTTCTTTGTTTTCTATTTAAAAGAGCAATTCATCGATAGTGTGGATGCATTCGTAGGCATTGAAATTGTTGTATCATTTCAGGAAAATGTCGAACCAATACGTGATTTATTATCACTTTCAAGTGGACAGAAAACACTAGTTTCTATGGCTTTTGTTCTAGCTTTGCAGCAAGTTGATCCAACACCATTCTATATATTTGATGAATTGGACCAAAATCTTGATCCACAAAGTCGTCAACTGATTGCTCAAATAATTCATGATCAAATTTCACCACGACAACCATCAGAACAACAACATAGACAATTTATCATCACGACATTTAAAACACAATTGGTTGAACATTCGGATCGCTGTTATGGTGTTAAATATGTTAATGGGGTAAGTGTTTGTGTATTGGATTTCGAAACAAAATTCTTCAATGTTTTTTTCAAACAATAGATAAGCCAAGTAAAACGTATTAGCAAAATATCGGCATTGGAATTTTTGTCAACAATACCCGAAACAAAAATCATTACTGACAATAAATGAAATGAATAAATTTTTTAATTTTATTAAGTTTTCTTTGCTCTTTGTATTGCTTTAAATTGTTTATAAACTACAATAACTAATTCAACTAATATACGATCTTTGCGTTTACGATCCTCTTCAATTTCCGGATCATCATATGGTGATGAATTACCTCTCATAATATAGGCCATATTGACAACATATTGTGGCCAACGAAGTTTTGCCTGATAAAATTGACGTTTGAAATGATTCCATTGACAAGCACCAACTCTTTGACAAATTTCCCATTCATCCCATGGTACTAATGTAAAACGATCATGATTGATACGGCGACGAAAATGATTAACATCTTCATACATCATAAAACGAATGGAAACAATTTTTCTAAATAAATGATCAAATAATGTTAATAATGTTGGATCTTCCCAAAGACCAATAGTGATATTATTAATCCAATCCAATTCTCTTATAAAATATTGTTCATTACGGCGGAAATATAATTTGGTTTGCAGGAAATCTTTCGATCTTTCATCACGTATCGATGATATTGGTATTAGAAAATCTAAACTATTCGCAGTTGATTGTAAACGAATTTGGAATAGTATTATGTTTGAATTTGAATCATTAATCATTATTTGACAATTCCAACGATTTTTTGTCAAATCATCATCATCCATATCATCATTAACATCATTAATTGTTTCGATTAAGTTTAGTTGTTGTTGAGGATTATTTCTTGGCATTTTCTCACACTAACTCTTTGCAAAACCAAAAACAATTAATTTTCAAATATAAATTCTGTTCCTTAAATCGATTAACAAAATTTTAAAAAATTCCAGAATTAAACATTCCTTGAATTTAATTTAAAATGATTAATTTTTTTCAATTTTACAAAATTTTCTATTCCTGTTTTGTTTACCAGACATAATGTTAATGAAAATTGTAATTAATTTTCATTTATTATTACAACTAATCGATGCTATTGTCATTGTTGAACCAACAACAACAACAACAACTAATCATAATCATAAACATGTTACGAATAATAATGATAATCAATTTAAATTAATACCAAAAATGATTGATAATTTTACAACATCTACTACTGCCAATAATCATTTATCAACGCCAAAACGATTAGTCGAGAAACACCATGATAATCAGGTGAACACTATTGTTACGGTGAGCAATTTTACTGCGAAAAATAATCATACCCCTGATAAAAATGATGATGATGGTATTGAACATTTTATTCATTTCAATCAATATATGGGTTGGATTTCAATCATTTATATGGCCATTATTGCGTTGGTTTATATTGTTTCAAGTAAGTTTTCTATTCTTTTTCTTCATTGAATCAATGTTGTTTTGTTTTCTCAAAAAAATTACCATAAAGGACTGGATGTTATCAAAGAAATTTTTAAAGGAAATTTTGATCAATTTCGACCATTGAATTTAATTGTGGATGAGGATTCATTTGAACAACAACAACGAGAGGAGCAGGAACAACAACTACGATCTATTGATACATTGACATCTGGATCAAGCATTCAACAACGTAGAAATCGATCATCATCAAATGGTTCATTGAGAGCAGTAAGCAGTAACGACAACAACAACAACCACCAAAATAACAAAGACAACAAAAACAACAAAAATCATCATCGAAGATCTTCAAATCGTAAAAATCGTTTCATCGGCAAAATGAATGTCATTCCTGATGGTGTAACGGAATTTATTCAAAAAATTACAACCAATTTTTAAAATAGAAAACTTTTTGTAAAAATGAACTATGTTTTTTTGAAAATAAATCAAAAATCAATACAATTTCCTCCAGACACATCAATTAATCATTATCGGTTTGGGTTTGGGAAATTTCATCTGAAAAAATCACCTTGAAATTCATCATTTCCGTACTGAACAGCAACTTTTTCCAGCATCTGTGTGCTTGCCGTCGATGATGATGATGATAACTTTTTTTGTTTTTTGTTTTTGGTTCTGGTTTTCCAGAATTTTTTTTTCTTCAAAATTTCCAACCTTTACTGTTTCATGTGAAACTAATTTAAAATTTATTAAAAAATGATTTTTGTTTCCAAAATGATGATCATCATCAGTAGCGGCAGTAGTATGGAAACTTTTTGTTGTTGTTGTTTGTTTCGGAAAATTTGTAATCAACATTTATTGAAGTAAGTAAAGATCATCAAAGATATGGATGATGATGATGATGAAAAATTCATTTTTCAATTTAATTGAGTGCTAACATCATCATCTAATAGTCATCATCATTTTCACACCTTCCACACAATTCAATATGGAAAGATTTTTGTTTGTTTTGTTTTTCGACGAATGAAATTCGCATTATCACTATCACATGATAATAATCTAAATATTTTGCCGCTGTTGTTCAATCCATTTAGAATATGAAAATAGAGATAACCACTTATCGTTATCGTTACAAAAATGATTATTATAATAAAGGTAAATATTGTGCATGTGTGTGTAGATTTCCCATTGGGAAATTCAAATTGAACACGTTTTATATTTTTGGATATAATGTTTACCCGTGTGAATTTGATTTTGAAATAAAAAAAATCTTATAATTTAGGCTGATTGGCTTATTATTTTTTTGATTTTGATTATGGTAAAATGATTTAGCTGGATGAAACAGAAGCAGACAGATTTTTCCCCTTAAATTTAGCTTGAAAGCCAAAAAGTGTGCGCCGGAGTGTCCTGATGATGCCAAAAAAATATGTTCCAGCAGCAGCAACCAAAAAAGAATTCTGCTCAAATGAAGAATTCAATATTTTTTCTTTCGTCGAAAACATCTTTATTAGCTTCTGCCATAGAAAATTTCGCTGGATCTAAATTGAAATTCATTGTGGAAGAATGAAGAAAACAAAAAACTTTGAGACAAATAATGACAACAATAACAAAAAGAAAAGAAACGAAACGGCGTCATAGAAATTGAATTTTTTATATTTTCATTGAAAAACATTTTCCCTCTGTTCATTGATGTGTCTGACGCGCGTTTATTTTTGTGTGAAAATCTAAATTCCATTAAACTAATTGTGCGTGAAACGAAAAATATCAGTTTTTCGATTGAAATCATCGTTTTTTTCTGTTTACAAAAAACAAAATCGATCGATCGATTCTCACCAAGTTTATCATCATCATAATAGTGTCTTTTAATCAGATTTTTCTTTTATCCTTCCTCATTGTCGTCGTCGTCATGGCCGTTTCCGTTGATTTTGGTGTGTGGTTTGATTCAATTCACATCGAATGTGAAACGGAAATCCAATCAATTGATCTGATATGATCAGAGCGTATGTTGAGCATAACCACAAAAAAATTGATCGATTTTGAATTTTGAATTTTGATTTTGACCTTTGACCGTATATTTTCGACAAACACAAAAGACAACATTTTATTCGATTAGAGAATGCGCGAACGAATCCATTCTACAAGAATTTCATCAGGGTTTGGCGGGAATTTTTTTCTGCTTTTGTTTGGATCATTTCCTTTTACTACTACCACTACCACTACTGCTGGTAAAAAAAAATCCAATACCGGCTGTAATGAATGCTGTTAGCAGTTATTTTTGTATATTGTTCCAGAATTGTTGGAATCAATAGGGTAGTGGTAATAGTAGTAACATGAATTTTCGGTTATGTTCAATTCTTGTTCTGGTGTTTTTTTGTGTGTCGAAAAACCAGAAAAAGAATGATCAGACCAAATGAAAATCGGGTTTTCCTCATTTAACACTGGTTTGCTGTTTGTTTAGTTTTTTTTTCTAAACAAAAAATTCGCTTTCAATTTTTGCCCGCTTAGTTTGGCGCCCGAGAAAACCCCGAAAAATTCATTGTTATTGGTTTTATGATGGTTTGACATCACTCAATTCAATCAGAATGGCAAAAATGAAAAAATTTTCAATACAATTTTGAATCTATCGATATTAATTTCTTTCATCCAAAAGAAAACAGCTTGCATACACGTGTGACGAGAAAAATATATTGAAAAAAGAAATCAATTTCCCAATGGATCACCAATACATCAATCCTTTTGACCCGCAAACAAATCATTCGATTTGATGATGTTGCCTTTTGGTGAACTGAATCAAAATTGAAATTGATGAATGCTGTTGTTGTTTTTGCTGCTAAGTGGTGCCTTTGTGTTTCTTCTTTGTCTGTGTTTCTGTTTGTGTTTGTTTTTGGCTAATTTGTCCGAAGAAAAAAAAAATAAATGTCCGTCGTTTAATTCGGTTATAAGTGTTTGTTGTTTTTTTCGTGTTTTGTTTCTTTCAACACAACAGCCATCAATTATATTTTAAACGGGGAATTTTTTTGGTGAAATGAAAAATTCCTTTCGTTCCCGGTTTACGCCCGAATTTAATTTATCATATTTTTCGTGTCTGTGTTTCGTGCGTTTGTTTTTAGTTTTCGATCGATCGATCGTTATTGTCAATCGATATTTATTTCAAAATTGAAAACAACAAGCAAATCTTCTCTGTCTGATGAATATGAATGGTTATTATTTTTATTGAATGAAAAACCATTTTTCCTTTTTGATTAATCATCGATTATCGATTGATTTTCATTTAATTCAATCAATTTTCCACTGTTATCCACTATTTCACTCATCACATTTGTGTGTTATCGATTTATATAACCAAAGTTTTATAAAATAAAATGTTAAAATTGTAAACAAAACAAACAAAATACAACTGTAGATTCATATTACAAATCATTTCTGCAAAGGAAGGAAAATCCTTATTAATAAAAACCAAAACCAAAATCAAGTAAGTCTTTATCTCTCTTTCTCCCTTTACTAAAATCGATTTGTAAATTACGCAGGCGGCTAATGTTTATGTTTATACGTTTTTTACGTTGTTTTGTTTATGATTTTCATTTAGCATTCATTTATTAAATTATGAATTCTCAATAAAAAACCATTATATAATCCAGCACCATCATCATCATTTGGAGTGTATGTGAATGTAATTTTAATTTGATTTTACCATCATCATCATATGTGTCACACATATTTATTCATACGACAACGATGTGTGTATGTTTCTTTCTTTATTGCCCACCTCTTTCTATGATGATGATGATTGTCATATTTTTTGTTGTTGCTTGTTTTCTGGTTTTTGTAATCATTGAGTGAACACCATATATTTTTTTCTTTTTTTTTGGGTAGTAAAGGCGGATCACTGTGTTGAACAATATGGTTGTGTTTGAAAAACGTTCGTTTGTAATAATAATCATTATTGTTTTGAGATTTTTTCGTTGTTTTTCCTGATTCCTAATAATCTGCTGTATGTATGGTGTGTATGGTGCTGGTTTTTAACTATAATTTTTTTTATGATAATCAAGAACACAGAATGGAGAAGGAAAGATGAAAATTCTTAATGGATCTTTCCTCCTCTTTTTTCTTTTTTTACTGGTTGGTTAATATAAACCATTAAACAAGGTTATATTGCTTGATGATGATGGTGGTGGTTTATAATTTTTGTTTTATTCATTTTTCCCAATATAATAGTTGAAATGAAATTCAATTGAATCACTATAATTTTTGTTTGTGTGGTTAATATGAACCGATGAATTCAGATGGTGAAAAAATAAATAAACATCATGCATGCATATGGAATTTGAAGAAAAAAAAATTGATAGGATAAGACCCATGATGAAGATGACATTCATTCATTCCTAATCATATTTGTGAACATATCATTATCAATATGATTATCATGATGGGATCTAATCGATAATTGTCAGTCGTTTCGTTTTCTGTTTTTGTTTCATTTTTGTTACATAGCGAAAATCTACATATTTGGTGATGATGATGATGATAATGGTTATGTTATTCAACGATTAACCATTGTGAGTAATGTTAATGCTATATCCATCTGTGTTTCATATTGGAAACATATTTTCCACAAATGCATTCTGTGTTTTTTTTCGAACATGACATACATGGAGATCATACATATTGATAATGAATTGCTCACTCACATATACAACCAATTGATGTAATTATAATTATTATTATTTGTAATAATAAATTATTATTATTGCATTTATTATTGGAAATGAAAATGATAAATCTTATTTGTATTCATTCATTCATTCCATATAATAAATTATAGATATTGTTTTTGTTTCCTATCTATTTTATCAAACAGAAATAGACAGACACAGAGATAATAAAACAATACCTTTTACCAAAAATTAGAAAAAATGCTATTTCAACATCCTTTTCACATTGATGATTTCTTTTGGTTGGTCTCTTTTTTCTTGCAAAATAACAAGATAGATTGGTTAATATTAGATGATTCTCGAGAATCGATTTCTAATGTTATTGTTATTGTTGTTGTCATTTTGTTGTTGTTGTTGCTGTTCAATAAAATAAATTCAAGTATCTTGTCCTGGTTCGAAAAGTTTAAGTATAGTACTACAGTACTCTCATCTACCTTATCTTACCTGTGTGTTTATTACCACTTTTATTATTATTATTATTATTTTCTAGTAGTTTGCAATTTTATTCCATTGTGGAAATAGCCATTTTTAAACGAAAATAGAGTGGAAATTTCATGATTTTTTTCTGGTTCTATCTTGGATCATGAATCATCATTTAGGAATTGGAAAGAAAAAAAACGACTACTACTACCAAAAACATACCGGTGTTCCGGTATTATATAATAATAAAAACTTGACTTGATTAGAGAAAGTAATGCTTGAACGAAAGAATGAAAAACGAAAGTAATCGAAAATCTTGGATGAATATTGCCATTTTGAGAAACTTTTTTGTTTCTTCCTTGGTGGTGATGG